AATGGAAAATTTGCACAAGACTCATGTCTCAACCTTTTAGCATATGCCTGATTAGCACAGTCTTTAATAGAATAGCGTTATTGTCCTTGTGCTATTTCTCAATGAAATTAAATGTCTTCCCAAGCACACATCACAAAATAACACACCCATCCTTCCACACCCCAAACACCACTGCACAGCCCCCAATGCCACATCAATGTGAAAGCATGGAGGTCAACATAGCCACAGCTCTAGGATAAAAGCTATCTCTCAGTTTGTTTGTCCTAGTCGGGTGAGATGGATCCCCAAGAATGCTCTGAGCTTTCTTAATGCTCTGTGGCCTATCAACTTCTTCCAAAGAGAGGAGAGGGCAACCAATGATTCTCTGTGCAGAAGTGGTGACCTTTTGGAGCGCCTTCCTATCTGCCACTGTTCAGTAAGCAAACCACGCACAGATGCAGTGGGTTAGGAGACTCTCTATATCACAGCGGCAGAAAGTCACCAGCGGTTTTTCATTCAGTTGTTGGCTCCTTAGAAGACTCAAGTAGTACAGTCTCTGCTGGGCCCTCTTAATCAATGCTGCCATATGAACGTCCCAGGTCAGATCCTCCTTAACAGTGATACCTAGGAACTTAACAGGCCACCTGTTCCACTTGGTCTTAATTTATCACCAAGGGCTGAATAGGTTCCAGGAAATGTGTGCTTTGGTCCTCTGTGTGTCCCTTTAGACAGGGATGTGCAACTATTAAGTGACCTGTCCACAGAATTGGGGGGGGTCAATATATCCCTAACAATTCAACACAATTCTTTGCTGTTCTCGGCATAGGAAAGGTCTTTTTCAAAGAAAGGAAGTGACATTGTTCTGGTCCTCTTGTCATACTAGAATGCCACCAAACACAGTGGAATTGATCTCTACATCACCAGAAAGATTTTGAGGGTATTTTTTTTAAAGGGAGGGTATTATGGTGTCCTAAAGGTTCTATATCCCCACACCTTCTTGGATGCTACGGCCATTATATCCAATGCAAGAGTAAGCAAGTTGGACAGGTATGTGCTGTTAGCTGATTCTACTCCAGTAGACCAACTACAAAAGCTTATGCTACATCTTCTTCCTCTTGATTGATCTCAGATATGGTTTATCTCAAATATTGATTGATCTTAAATATGCTACAAGATCCCTTTGTATACTGATACTGGTTGATTTGGCAAATATAGCACTATTCTCCTAACTCATATAGCCTCTATCTATAACCATAAAGAGTCATTCAAACCATTTCTATATACATTTGTAATCCAGTTTAACTGAAACTTGAATACTGATTTTGTTTTCTGTATTCCACTTCTGTACTTCGACCCCTTTTTCCTGGAAATACCAGATATTCGGAATTCATGTGTATTCATTAAATTGGACAAATATGTTCATCTTACTATGTGTTTGCCCCTTCTCTGTGGCTCTATTTCGGCAGCCAACAATAAATGATAAAGGACCATACAACAAGAGAAAAACATGAGTTTAAAATAATATTAAATCGGAATCCCACACAAAACAATTTGTCTCAGATATGTAACACTTAATCATTCCATGCAGACATGAAAATCAATGAACATTAATCGTTACACCTTGACACAGACAAGTTATTAAGTAGCAGTGTTTCAATTTTCAGCTTTGAGCCCCGATGATGACTAAACATATCATGTTTTAGCTTTCTCGACTGGCTTCTTACCATATTATATTAATGTCAGCATGTAGTGCTGCTAACTGCCTGTCATTCTGGCAATGTGTGTGTGCGGAAAGGCGCAAATATGCTATATAGCAGAGTTTTGTACACACACCCACACACAGGAACACACTTAAGTATATGTACTTGTTCGCACTCACAGAACACAGCAAGTGTGAGCCAGTTCTCCCATCAGGAAAAAAAAATACCTAAAGTGATCTATGCAGAATAACATTTTTTATACCAAACGTTTTTAATTCTGTGGTTTAATTTACTGTGGTATAAAGTTGTTGCGTTTGGACAAATCCATATACAACATGAACTCCTTTTAAAGAAAAAATAGCACTTCATTTTAATATCTATAATTATTTCATAAGATTTATTAGAGAACTACACAAAATCAAGCATTTGAATCCCTTCCTCCACTGAAAACAGCCTTTCTGATGGGCAGTAATATTGCAAATTAGGAAGCATTTTAGTGTTTCAGTCTCTTTTGTAACCATGTTGTGTTTTGCAATGTGCTTTTATTACAGAATTTCTACAAAACAGAACTGAACAAGGAGGAGATGTATATTCGGTATATACATAAATTGTATGATCTACATTTAAAAGCACAAAATTTTACAGGTAAATCTTTCATCATATGATGGACAAAAATACTTTTCTCAGTGTTTTTCTCAAGAAGCAAATCAAAGAAGGAAAGGGGGCTGGTCTTTTGAATCATTCAACCCTCAGTCTGCAAGGAAAATATCGATGAGAAATTTTCAGTATCAGGGATTCTTAAACTTTTCTTATTTGTAGCCTCTTTCAGCTCAAGAAATATTTATGCGAGCTCAGGTGTATAGGTATATAAAATAGATTTTAAAGAATCAAATGTAAATCAGCATTTGCAAGGCATGCTAAACAGGCAACTTTCCCTTTTTTGGAGTATAATTGAAGCAATTTCTGGAGAGTTCCCTGTAAACACTGCATGTTGTTGCTAATGTTTGTGTAAATGGTTGGCGTTCAGAAACCTTTTACTTTGGCCTTTTTTGTGAACCCAACATTGAGCTAAAGGGACCCCATTTGGGGTCAGGACTCACAGTTTAAAAAACAGTGTTCTATAGCACGAAGGTCTGTTTAAGTTATTTATTATCATTTATTTACTCCATTTATATCCCATCCTTCTCACCCCAAAGGGACTCCGGGCGGCTTGCAGAAAAGGCACAATTTGATGCCATATTTACATACATAGGATAAAACAAAACATATACTTTAAAATCAATAATTAAAACACAATCTTAAAAGCCAATTACATTGAAAACCATGCAGTCCAAAGGCATATTCCCGGAGCCGTTCCATAAATTGCATTATCCCATACTCACTTAATGCATTGCATCCCAAGGCTTAGTCCCACAACCATGTCTTCACTTTCTTTCTGAAGGACAGGAGGGAGGAAGCTGATCTAATTTCACTGGGGAGGAAGTTCCATTGCTGAGGGGCCACCACTGAGAAGGCCTTGTCTCTCGTCCCCACCAAACACACCTGTGAAGGAGGTGGGACCGAGAGTAAGGCCTCCCTAAAAGATCTTAACCTCCATTTAGGGCTTTGTAGGCTAAAACCAGCACTTTGAATTGTGCTTGGGAGCAGACTTGCAGCCAGTGGAGCTGGCCCAGCAGGGGGATTGTATGCTCCCTGTACCCCGTTCCAGTGAAAGAGTCTTGCTGCTGCCCATTGGACCACTTGAAGCTTCCGAATAGTTTTCAAAGGCAACCTCACATAGAATCATAGAATCATAGAATCAAAGAGTTGGAAGAGACCTCATGGGCCATCCAGTCCAACCCCCTGCCAAGAAGCAGGAATATTGCATTCAAATCACCTCTGACAGATGGCCATCCAGCCTCTGTTTAAAAGCTCCAAAGAAGGAGCCTCCACCACACTCCGGGGCAGAGAGTTCCACTGCTGAACGGCTCTCACAGTCAGGAAGTTCTTCCTCATGTTCAGATGGAATCTCCTCTCTTGTAGTTTGAAGCCATTGTTCCGCGTCCTAGTGTCCAGGGAAGCAGAAAACAAGCTTGCTCCCTCCTCCCTGTGGCTTCCTCTCACATATTTATACATGGCTATCATATCCCCTCTCAGCCTTCTCTTCTTCAGGCTAAACATGCCCAGCTCCTTAAGCCGCTCCTCATAGGGCTTGTTCTCCAGACCTTTTATCATTTTAGTCGCTCTCCTCTGGACCCATTCCAGCTTGTCAATATCTCTCTTGAATTGTGGTGCCCAGAATTGGACACAATATTCCAGATGTGGTCTAACCAAAACAGAATAGAGGGGTAGCATTACTTCCCTAGATCTAGACACTACTCCTATTGATGCAGGCCAAAATCCCATTGGCTTTTTTTGCCGCCACATCACATTGTTGGCTCATGTTTAACTTGTTGTCCACGAGGACTCCAAGATCTTTTTCACACGTACTGCTCTCGAGCCGGGCATCCCCCATTCTGTATCTTTGCATTTCGTTTTTCCTGCCAAAGTGGAGTATCTTGCATTTGTCACTGTTGAACTTCATTTTGTTAGTTTTGGCCCATCTCTCTAATCTGTCAAGATCGTTTTGAATCCTGCTCCTGTCCTCTGGAGTATTGGCTATAGAGTGCATTGCAGTAGTCTATTCTCAATGTAACAAAAGTGTGGACCATTGATACATAGCAAAGACACCTTCATAACAAGCCACTGTGGTAACTTATTACTTTAGGATAGCTCTGGAAGACAAACTAGGCTTCTTCAATTGGATACCTACTGAATGTTTTGAGTTCTGGCTTCTAGCATCCTTAAATATTGACTATGCCAGTGGAACTTCGATTCCAAAACATCCAGAGAGCACTAGGTTGAGGAAGCCCAGGTCAGACATTTTGTCACTTATTTTTTCCCCCAGCCACCATGGCCAAATAGGCAGGATGGAATTCTGGAAGCTGAAGTCGATAACATGGGAATAAGAGTGAATAAGTTGCTTTTGTACATGTGGTTTTTGGATCACCCCCCTGCCCCCAAACAGTTGGGAGAGAGCAGATGTGACCTTCCTTCAGGAATCACATTGTTTATAAACATACTGACAATGTTCTCCTGCCGCTGGCTGTCATAGAATAATGTTACTCTCCTCTTTCCATTTCCTGTCTGATGTTAAAAATCAAGAAATGTTAAACAATCTCATTAGCAATCTTTTTGGGCAGAAATGACTAATTTTGACGGTGCAAATGCTGCTTGTTATGCCCTACTTTCTAGGTTTTTTTTTTCCTGGCCAGTTTTATGTTCCAATTTTTTTTTGGCAAAACCTCCTCACTTTTAATGTCAGTTTTAAATCTTCTCCTGAACAGCTGGCAGCCAATACTGCTTCTTGGTGACAATTGCAAATTAGATTGCTTTGCATCTTCCGTGCAAATTAAAAGCCTCTAATGTAGGACTAAAATCAGTAGCTTCTTAACAGGGGTGGTGTTTCATAATTTGACCTAGATGGCATTCATGGGCCATTTTCAGAAACTTGAATGTTGTTTGGCTCACCATTTCTTCACCTTTTCCTTAGAAGGGTTTCTATATCTTGATTAAGGATGGAAATAAAATAAAAAATACACAAAAATTGTATTTAAAGTACCATTTTTATTGTGTATTGAGACACTCGGCCAATATTCTTTATAATATGAGACATATTCTGTACAAAATTTGCAGAGGTTTTTCTTGCACAAAAAAATTATTTCCATGTAGGAAAAAAAATTGGTGTAAAATAACCATATTTGAAGTTTGCACAAAATATGTCTTGAATTGTGAATAAACTACCAATACAGCCTCATCACACTAGAGAAAAAATCCACTTAAAATCTGCTTTCTGCCTCCTACAGAATTCTGGGGTTTGTAGTTTAAGGAGGCGCCTTTAACAGCCTCATTAAACCACAAACCCCAGAATTCTGCAGGAGGCAGAAAGCAGATTTTAAGTGAATACCACTTCATCACACTAGAGAAAAAATCCACTTAAAATCTGGTGGGTTTTTTTACACTGGGAAAAATGGCTGAAATTGCTTGTTGTTGTTTTTAAGAAGGCGGTGAGTAATGAATTATACCCCAGATTATGATTGATTAATCTCAGGTTTATTTTGCCTTTGTCTGGATGCATAGTGATATTTATAACTGCCAGTTGTTTTTTTTATAATAAATTACATAGTTGCCTGAATACATTTCCTTTGAGGGAGAAAGTATATTTGTGCTCTACGTTATAAAATCTACATTTTTTTCATTCTGCACTGAAGGTCATAATCAATAAAGTGGCATGCCTCTAAATCCAAACTTTTTTGGGGAAGCTGGGCAACTTATCTCCCTCGAGAAGCCATTGGACTGAAGTACTATTTTTCCCCATATCATTGGTTATGCTGTCAGATGTTGATGGGAGGCAACCGGATTATATGGTCAGTGTAGATGGAGCCCAAACGGAACCATAATCTTACATGTGTCAGAGTAAATCAATAATGTTTTGTTTTATTTAAAAAAGAATGTTATTTTCTTCTGTTGATATTTTTATACCAAATGTTCTGCGTGTTTACTTGTAACACATGGCAGAAGCTGCTTATACACTGTTGTTATATGATGAACTGTTGGAATGGTCAGACCGGCCGCTGCGAGAATTTCTGAACTATCCCATGCAGACCGAGTGGCAACGTAAAGAGTATCTTCATCTCACTATAATCCAGAACTTTGACAGAGGAAAAGTAAGTGAGTTTTTAATTGTTCTTTATAAAGTATTGATAATAGCATAATCAACTATTTAGGCTGCTAACACATTTTATAATAGAATAATAGAATTGGAAGAGACCACGTAGGCCATCTAGTCCAACCCCCTACCATGCAGGAAAGCACAAAGTATCTCTAACAGATGGCCGTCTAGCCTCTGTTTAAAAGTTTCCAATGAAGGAGCTTTTACCGCACTCCGAGGCAGAGAGTTCCATTCTTGAACAGTTTGTACATTAAGAAAGTTCTTCCTAATGTTCAAGTGGAATCTCTTTTCCTGCATTTTGAACCCATTGCTCCAAGTCCTATTTTCAAGGGCAGTAGAAAAGAAACCTGCTCTCTCTTCCTTATGACACCCTTTGACATATTTATACATGGCTATCATGTCTCCTCTCAACCTTCTCTTCTGCAGGCTAAACATATCCAGTTCTTTAAGATGCTCCTCATAGGTCATGGTCTCCAAACCTTGATCATTTTAGTTGCCCTCCTCTGGACACCTTCCTGCTTGTCAATATCTCTTTTTAAACTGTAGTGCCCAGAACTGGACACAGTATTCCAGTTGAGGTCTAATGAAGGCAGAATATAAAGACACAATGACTTCCTTCAATCTCTAGATACTATACTCCTTTTGATGCAGCCCAAAAACCATTGGCTCATGATCAACTTCGTTGTCCATGAAGACTCCAAGATCTTATTCACATGGACTGCTGTTGAGCCAGGCACCACCCATTCTGTATCTTTGCACCTCATTTTTTCTGCCTAAGTGTAGTATCTTACATTTGTCCCCATTAAACTTCATTTTGTCAGTTTTGACCCAGCTCTCTAATCTGTTAAGGACATTTTGAATTCTGATCCTGTTCTGTGGAGTATTAGCTATCCCTCCTAATTTGGTGTGACCTGCAGTCTTGATCAGCATGCCCTCTAAACCTTCATCCAAGTCATTAATAAAGATGTTGAACAGTACTGGGTCCAGGACCAAAAGTTGTGGCACTCCGCTTGTTCCTTCTTTCCAAGATGAAGTGAAACCATTGGTGAGCACCCTTTGGGTTCGGTCGCCTAACCAATTACAGATGCACCTAATAGTGGCATTGCCTAACCCACATTTGACTAGTTTGCTTGCAAGAGGGTCATAGGGGACTCCTGTCAAAGGCCTTACTGAAATCAAGATATGCTACATCCACAGCATTTCCTGCATCTACCAAGCTTGTATATTGAAAAAAGAGATAAGATTAGTCTTGCATGTCTAATTTTTGAAAAATCTTTGTTGATTTTTGTAATCGCAGACTGCCTCCTTAATTATTTGCTCCAGAATCTTTCCTGGTATTGATGTCAGGCTGACAAGTCCTCTTTTTTCCTCCTCTTGAAGATAGGGACATATTTGCCCTTCTCCAATTTGCTGGGACTTCTCCTACTCTCCAAGAATTCTCAAAGGTTATTGCCAAAGTGTGAAATGACTTCTGCTAGTTTATTTATTTATTTATTTCAAGCATTTGTATCCCATCCTTCTCAAACCTCGATGGGGGACTCAGGGCAACTTACAACTGGCAATCATTAGATGCCAACAAACAATCGCAATTCAAACAATTAACATTAAATAAGACAATATTATAAAATACATTAAAATATTGGCCATTAAAATATTAAAATGCAACCAAGCCTAGGTTTGCAAATCCACAAAATCGTCCAGAGTTCCATCCCAAGATCTATTCATTCATGAGTCATGGCAGTTGCTGCTCAGTCATCTGCCTGAATGCTTGGTCCCAAAGTCAAGATTTAAGTTTTTTCCTAAAGGAGAGGAGAGTCACCCTGATTTCACTGGGGAGTGCATTCCATAGAGGGGGGCCACCACAGAAAGGGCCCTGTCTCTTGGCCCCACCAATCATGCTTGCGAAGGTGTTGGGATCAAGAGCAGAGCCTCCCCTGACAATTGTAAACTCCGAGTGAGGTATGTTTGGACAAGTAAACTGCGCCGGAACCTATTGGACCAAGACCAGCACTTTGAATTGTACTTGGAAATGAACCAGGAGCCAGTGGAGCTGACATAGTAGGGGATGGTATGCTCCCTGTATGTCTCTCCGGTGAGTAATCTGGCTGCCGACCGTTGGACTAGTTGGAGTTTCCGAACAGTCTGTAAAGGCAACCCCATGTAGAGTGTGTTGCAATAATCTATTTAGGATGTAACAAGAGCATGGATCACTTGGCCAGATCAGGCTTCCCAAGGTACGGGTGCAGCTGGTGCACAAGTCTTTATAGTTCCTTCAATACTTTTGGATGTAGTTCATCTGGCCCTGAATATTTGAATTAATTTAGAGTAACTAGGTATTCCCGGCCTAGTTCTTTACTTATTTTGAGTTTCATTTCCTCTATTACCTTGTCGGCTCTATATTCTTCAGGTTGAATACCAATCTCCTTTTGGGAGAAGACTGGTGCAAAGAAGGTGCTGAGCATCTTTGCATTTTCCTTATCACCTGTTAACATTTCACCACCTTATTCATGCATAGGCCCTACCATTTCCTTTTTCTTCCTTTTTCTTCCTTTTTCTACTGACATAACCAAAGAATCCCTTCTTACTGGCTTTAATCTCTCTGGTAAGCCTGAGCTCATTTTGTGCCTTAGCCTTATGAACCTTTTCTCTACATATGTTGGTTATATGTTTGAATTCTGGAATGTGGCATATATTCTGTATCTCAGAAACCAGAGCTGATACAGGGAAACTGGTGCTAGTTTTGGAATCAGCAGGTCATATCCACCCAGAACCATGGCTAACGTTTGAGGCACCAAAATCTGTGTTGGTACCTCACACATTGGTGCGCCAAAGCTCAAGCCCAGTGTAATGGACTTGAGCTTTGAGGAGCAGCATGGTAGAATGAGACCCAAAGCAAATTGTTGTGTATGCAATCTCATTATGCTCCTTCACGCAAATAATGTGTGATAGGGGCTGGCATAATTCTTTTACAGTTGGCATCTCACACCATATCAATACAGCAATAAAGCAATCCCAAATGCAGAAATTTAGAAAATATTAAATATAAAGCATAGGAGGAGTGCAAGGAAGGAGTCAGCCAAGCCAAGCCAACCAAGAGATTGTTGCATAACTTGGGAGCAGCCACAGAGAAAGCGTTTTCCAAGGTCTTCAGCTATAATTCTGAAGGCTGTGGGACTTGTATAGGGAGATACGGAACTCATACAGGGAGGGTCACTTGATTTTCCATGGATCCATCCTACAGAATCTGGTATCTGTAGACTAGTAATGTACTAGAACTTTCTCACTTAGAATTCTAAAGATTCTTCCCTAAACTGTGAATGCCAGGATGCCATAGGATAAAACAATGTCAGTTAAAGTGTAATCATAGTGTAATAACAGTCCAGTATGAAAGCACCCCAGGCATTATCCACTAGTATGGTTTGTCTGCAAGCATTCTCAGCACTTGTGAATGCATGCAGATCAGTGTTCCCAGAGGATGGCACTTGAATACCCTATTGTCAGTTCCCATAAACAGATGTTTTCTGCTATTTGGTTAATGTTACTTGAAAGTGCTGGTTAATGTTAGCATGTAATGCCAACTGGAGACACTTGAAAATCTGTTTGAAACAAATAAAAAACATTAGATTTCTTTTCTGTGTTGAACGTTTCTCTTCCTTGTTTGTCTACAGTGCTGGGAGAATGGCATTATCTTGTGCAGGAAGATTGCTGAACAGTATGAAAGCTATTATGACTACAGAAACCTCAGCAAGATGCGGGTAATAAAGCTTGGTGTATTATGAGTCATTAAGAATAAATATAAAAACAGCTTTGGGTAGTCAACAAGGCAAACATTTAATTTTCTCAGGGTAGCTTTCATATCAAAACAATGATGCTCTTTTTCTTAACCAAAAGGGAAACATCAAATCCAGTTCTAGAAAAGTACATGTTGAAAAAGCAAATTGTAGATTCAACATCCCAATCCTTTTTGGTTTGGTTGCCCCAGAAACGGGAAACTTCTGTTTCCAAATTATTCCAGTGCTATATTGTTTGGTGCCTGATATTCTTAATGGATGCAGTTTATTTGCTATACTATATTGAGGCAGTAATTCTGTGTTCTCTCCCCTAAGAACAATCCATACTGAAGACAGTGGGACTTACTTTTAGGCAGACACATTTTACTTTGTCTTAGTAAACAAAGAGTTGTAGTTGCATGGTTTATATATAAACTGTATGGCAGTGAATTGTTTTATGGAAACACAGAGTTTCACTAAACAATTAGAGAATTTATTGCATTTCTCTCTCCTGAATCTTGTAAGTAGCATTGAAGATAAACATACAATTGTTGATAAATTAAAGTCTGAAAATATACTCTACATTCATGCTACTTTGTGGTGTGGCATGCAGCTTACCTAAACGCCCACTGTTGAAACATCAGTGACCTTTTTTAGTGCTCAAAATGTGTTGATCAAAACATATGGGAAACTGACATGTAGATTTCTGAGCTGTTCTCTATAAATGCATCTTTGTATGATGTCTTTCTTCACGGAGGTCAGGAGTGATTGCGTGGTAAATACAGAGCTATCTTACTTTCATAGCTTGAAAAAGTTAGACTGTCGCACCCCAAATCTGCACTTGGATATTGACTCCCCTCCCCAGCATAAGTGGAAATTTGTCTTAAAATGTTGAGGGTTTAGTGGGTGATGCAGGAGAGTGCATCCCTCCAAGATCCTTATAATCCCCAATAATTGTTCACCAAAGTATAGAGTCATTGGGAGTTTTAGATGGGGGGAGGTTTCCAGCTCTACAGATTTGAGAGACTGATCTGCTAAGTCAGGATACAGTCTTTTTTAAATTTCCTGGACTAAATAAATTGTTCACAGGATGGATTTTAATCCTACTCTTTGCCCCCCTCTCCATGAAGGCTGATAGAATGGCTTGTAGAAACCAATGATAAGATGCTCCCAGCTGACAAAGTAGAAGTACAAAAGTAAAGGGCGTAGGAGGGTAGAAGGAAAACAGCAAAAAATAGCAAACATGGGTGTAGGAGGGGGAAAGAAAACAGCAGACATGTGTATAGTTCTTAGATGTAAAATAAGAGAAGTATGACTGCTGTCTCCACCTCAATTCTCTAATTCTTTTGTGATCATCAGACCTTATTCATGCTTGCATAGTTGGGTCCGCTTATAATCAGATAGATAGATAGATAGATAGATAGATAGATAGATAGATAGATAGATAGATAGATAGTACGGTGTTGCTAACCCGAACAATAAAACTGAATTCAGTTCTTCATAAAAATATGTGTCAATGTTTTTCAAACTGTATTGCATCTTATGCAGGTGATGGAAGCCTCTTTGTATGATAAAATTATGGATCAGCAGCGTTTGGAGCCAGAGTTTTTCCGAGTTGGGTTTTATGGGAAAAAGTTTCCTTTTTTCTTACGAGTAAGTATGTCATTTTTCAACTTGTTTTTTTTTTTTTGGCACTAATAAGTTTTGCATAATATTTTTTTCTGCTGCTGCCAAATGCTTCTTCCCCCACCTCCCAATCTCTGGAACTGTACGGGTGCCTGAGATATTTTTCCTGCACCATTCAAATGTCAGCCTCTTTCTGCCTTTCCCCATTTTGTCACTTTAAAAAGCTTACTTCACATTAAAACCTTGCAGGATTGCCCTTAGTTTGTGAAGTCTTCCAGTGCACAACAGAGTCATATTATTTTCTAATCCTGTGATCATTCTTCATGTTATTTGTATGATTTTAGGGCTCAAATTATTTTTACAACCTTGTGTTTGTTGGAAATTGAAACCTTCCAAGACTCCACTAACTGTTTGTAAATGTGTATAATTGGTAACCTATATTGTATGTACATTTTGGTTTGCCAGTTTGACTGTATCTCTTTGTGTGGGAGGGGCTTCAGACACAGGACTCCATTTTCGTTTTATAGTATGCTTTTAGACCTTAGTGGAGGTGGATGTAGTGTGTCTCTTTTCAGACTTCAGTGAGTACAGTTATATAGTTTGGACTATATCTATATGCTTAATGACATTGGAATATGGACTAGTATGCTGAATGTATACAAGAGGTTTGTTAGTACACCTGAGCTGTTCCCCCCCCCCCCCAAAAGACTACTTTGTTTTTGTCTCTTGAGTACATATTTTAACTAAGAAGTTTTAAAGGAGTGTATATCTTTTGGGCAATCACAAATTCTACTTCAAAGAAACAACCATCATCTAGTAACCAATATATTTTTGTAGTGGCATGTCTTTATCCATGGCAGTTTAAAGACATGGTTCTTCACTTTTAACAGCTGAGTTACCTGTGAATGCTTATGAATATAACTTGTTCAAAGAGTTGACCTCTAATAAAGTCATGCTTTTCTTGACTGCTGGTTTTCAAAAGACGGTCTCCACATGTTCATGGAGATTCACATTTGCCAAACGGATGTGACATCATTCTTACCCTTTCAATAAGGTTATGGTGCACTTATTTCCAATAGGTTATGGAATTTCCAATAATGTTTGACCCTTTCATTTGCTTTCTGATTTTGACTGATAGCTCTTATGGGAAAACTGAACATGAACTTTATTCTAGTAGCATAGTGCTAAATGATACAAGTCTCAAGAGAGTCCAAAAATTCAAAATCTGAAATGAGATTTGGGTAACAAAATTAGGTCATAGAAATATCATTAAAAAGAGGAGTGTTCAAATCTTTCAGAATTCTTCATCAGGCTGCATATTGAAGGCAGGATTGGGAAATAGAATATGCCAGAAAGCAGCTTGGATGGATATTGAAGCCACAGGATCTTTAGCTGAGGTCCCAAAATGGAATCTGAAAGCTTTGAAGTACTGTATCACCTTTCAGGTGGGCTTCTCTCAAACTGTAGATTCTGGACTGTTTGTCGCTACTAAATCATACTTTTGTGGCCCTCAGAGCCCCTACCAGTCCCCTCAAACCACTCTTGTTCCTTAATTTTAAAACGGAAATGGAGCAAATTGTGGACACTTTTTGCTCGAAGCCACATGGAAAGCTTTCCAAATATGTGAAATATATGAAAAATATTCCTAAAGCATTGGAGAATCTTGTGCTATCCCCAAATACCTCATTTTTATCTACAGTCCCTCTCATAATGACATCAAGAAGTGACATGACTTCACTTCCTGTAATCATTTTGAGAGGGATTGCTGATGTTAATGGACGTATTTGAGTTTGCCGTGCAGGAAGCTACCCATGGGGTGGGATTGAGAGCTTGGGAGGATAAGCCAATTCATCCCTCAAGAGCAACTAAAAATAGATAAAAATTTTCTGTATACAGTGAGTTCGTCTAAAAGCAATTTACAGTGTCCTTCTGGTCCCTCAAACCCAAACTTCTAGGCCAAATGCCTATTTCAGAGTCCTTTTAAAAAACCATTCCTGGAATATAAAGTTGACTTAAGGTGCAGTATTTATATCTGCTTCCCCAAATGTTTTCAGCTACCATAGCAACACAAAGTGGCTCAGTCGTACATGATGCAAATTCTGCACAGTTCATGCTCCTGTCGTTGTCAAGGTGGTAATTGTTTGTATCTGGTTGCTTTTAAGCAGATTGCATAATCAAATTGCAGCAAACCAGCCCAAAGGTATATAGGAGAGGGCGATGGGACGGGACGTATGGGTTCATCCCTTGATGTCTTTTTGCAAGAAGGAAAAAAGGAGTTGCCACAGCAGTAGGGAAGTTAGACAGAAATGGTGGCGTTCTTGTGAAGTTTATTTATCATGTCAGAAGCAAATTGAGAATACAGTTAAAATGTGTGTATGTATGTGTGTATACATGACGCATGTGTACACACACACACAAACAAAGTTAAAAACTTGGCATTCTGCTAAGTTTTCTTTGATCAGAAGTTGACCACTTCAAGTGTCACTGTAAGAAGGCCCTCCATTATGCATGTGACAGTGCTCAGAATGCATTGTACTAAGTGGTCTGTGGTTTGCTCTTCTCCATACTCACATGCCACGCTCACATCTAGGCTGGACTATTGCAACGCCCTGTATGTTGGCCTTCCGATGTCTATGACCCGAAAGCTCCGTATTGTTCAGCATGCGGCAGCCAGTCTACTCACAAGAACACCCATGAAATGCCATATAACACCAGTGTTGCGGCATTTGCATTAGCTTCCAACTGATTACCGTGGTTTATATAAGATGCTAGTTCTGACCTTTAAAATTCTTTACGGCCAGGGTCCATCATATCTTAGGGACTGTCTCTCATTCTTCCATCATCGGAGGTCGCAACAACCATCCCAACGTGACTTACTTTATATACCGCGTCCTAGAGAAGTGTACTTGGAAAGGACCAGACACAGAGCTTTTTCTATTTCTGCCCCTGCCTTATGGAATTCCTTGCCACCCTATATGAGAGCCATGCGTGAGTTAGGGCCTTTTACCCTAGCACTTAAGACTTGGCTTTTTACTAGAGCTTTTGATCTATGTTAATTTTATCAATATCTGTATGTATGTATTTTTATCCTTTACAATTTAGCTTGTAAATCACCTAGAGCATCTTGGATGGAGGGCGATTAATAAGTAATTAAATGATGATGATGATGATTGATGATGATTGATTGATGATGATTTATAGCCCCATTTCTTAAGATTGGCTCTGCATCTCACAGTGCCAGAGCACAATCTGTTCAATGCTTTCCAGATTGCCCAGGGGGGAGTTTCTCATCTGGTATCAGCCACTGATTGAGGTCCCAGGTTTTAGCCTGCCACTTTTGGACTCTCACTTACTGAGGTGTTCCTGCGAGTATCTCTGTAGATCTTAGGAAGCTGTTTCTTGATTTAAATTGTTGGCATATTGGCTGATATCCAACCAGAGGATGGGCCGGAGATGTCAATCCCTTTGTCCTTTCATTTCTGGCTGCTACTTCCCTGTGGATATCAGGAGGTACAATACTGGCTAAACAGTATAATTTCTCCAGCAGTGTTGGGCATAGACATCCTGTGATAATGCACCATGTCTCATTAAGAGCCACATCCACTGTTTTAACGTGCTGTGATGTATTCCATACTGGGCCTGTATACTCAGCAGCAGAGTAGCAAAGCGCAAGGGCAGATGTCTTCACTATGTCTGGTTGTGATCCCCAGGTTGTGCCAAGAACCTTGTGAAGTTCTTGTGAAGTAGGACTTCCTCAAAAGAAAGACTCAGTTCACAATTTGTGTGGTGGTAGCATTTGCAGTTCCTGACAGTAGTAGTGGCTGGTGGTGTAACCATGTCTCAAAAATCATAGGGAGAGGATGCTGCTGTTGAGTGGAAGAAACCCCCTTTGATGTTAGCAGTAGAAGGACAAGGCTGATGTGGTTGAGATAAATAAACAATGATATACTAGGACAGTACTGTATATAGCCCCCCCCCAGTGCCCCCACTCCCATGTGGTTAGCCTGCAAAGTCTGAAGACCCTCCTCCTCTCACTTTTCCTTTTTCTTCAGGTCACTTTTAAGTGACAATGGGATTTTTTTCTGCCCCTTCCTATCCATCCTATTATTTCATTGACAACTTCTGATTAGTATACAAAGCAGACTATATCATAAGGATATACAGAGGAGCCCACAGAATCAAAGCTGTAGCATTATTTTATAATCTGCCTCTTCCCTTTGGACTCCTTTGTTCTCTATTCTTTTAGTGGCAATCAGCATAATGACTAGATTTGCCCAGGAACACTTAAATGTCCTGTTTTATAATAGATAATATTTGGTGGTGGCTTGAACGGGCAAAACTCCTTTAGGTTTACAAAAGACCTGCATCTGCTGGAGATACATGGTCGTCCAGCACACTGCAGTTTAAAATTCCTTATAGGGACCTATCATGATAAGGACCTGTACTTTTACCTCTTTTCTCAAGCTCCACTGGACATCTACAAGGCCATTTCATAAAAGTATTGTCGAAAGCTTTCATGGCTGGAATCACTGGGTTGCTGTGAGTGTTCCAGGCTGTATGGCCATATTCCAGAAGCATTCTCTCATAATGTTTCACCCAAATCTATGGTAGGAATCCTCAGAGGTTGTGAGGTTTGTTGGAAACTAGGCAAGTGATGGTTATATATCTGTGGAATGTCCAGGGTGGGAGAAAGAACTCATGTCTGTTTGAGGCAAGTGTCAGTGTTGTCATCAACCACCTTGATTAGCATTTAATGGCCTTGTAGGTTTAAAGCCTGGCTGATTGCTGCCTGGGGATCCTTTGTTGGGAGGTGTTAGCTCATCTTGGTTTATTCTTGTCTGGAATTCTGCTTTTGGAGTGTTTCTCTTTATTTACTGTCCTTATTTTAGAGGGTTTTTTTTAATACTGGTAGCCAGATTTCGTTCATTTTCATGGTTTCCTCCTTTCTGTTGACAAGAGTTCTTTCTCCCATGTTGGACATTCCACAATTATATAAACCTCACTTGGCTAGTTTCCAACAAACCTCACAACATCTGAGGATGCCTGCCATAGATGTGGGCGAAACATCAGGAGGGAATGCTTCTGGAACATGGCCATACAGCCCAGAAAACTCACAGCAACCCAATTCATAAATGTTTAGTTGTTTACCAGTTCATTTGATAGAAAGGCCAGTAATCTATCCAGTTTTTGTGTGGGTCTTTCATGTGTTCAGCTAAAGAAAAAGCTTTAGATACAACTTCCAAAATCAATATGCATCTGCGTGGATTGTCTTTAGAATTCATAAACGTGATTGTCACATGAGTCAACATATGAAAACATCTACAGGTGCTCTGAAGGGTCCTCCCACCTTGCAGCTAACACTAGTGTGCCTCCAACTGCTTTTAAAGATTCCTCTTCTGCAATTCTTCCCAAATAGAGTGGCTTTTATTTCATTTCAGTGGCCATGAGACAGCAAGGAATGGAGATGAGGTAAAAGTAATTATCCTTTAGAGGAGTTACAAAAGGAAAAAGAGACAAAGCAGAAGAAGCTGGAAATATATCGGGATTCTTCCGAGAATAAGTGTGTTGTTTTGTAGCCCCTATGGTTATTTTCCTCTTATTTATATCTTCACGGCTTGTTGGCCACTTTCTCTCCAGTGGTGTAGATTGTTGTTATGTTTCATGTTTTATTGATTATGAATATAGCTCATTATCTTCCTTTCAAGCTTTTTATTTTAAGAGTAGTTCTTTTATGAAGTAATCATGCAGAACAAAATTGTGCACCATAATAAGTGCAAGGGATGATCACAGGCAGTAATTAGAAGCATGCAGAACATAACAAAAATAATGCAGTAATGGGACAAATATAAGTGGAAAGCATTTTACTTTAAGTGGGAATATGTTTCACGTTTTGATCTCGAACTAGTATTTTGAGGGTTGTGCTCACGCAGCTAAAGAAACGACAAAGCAAATGTTGATTAGAATCCCCTTTGCTGTCTTTTTTCTTCTACCCAGAACAAGGAGTTTGTTTGCCGTGGCCATGACTATGAGCGTTTGGAGGCTTTTCAGCAGCGGATGTTAAATGAGTTTCCACACGCCATTGCTATGCAACATGCCAATCAGCCCGATGAAACCATCTTTCAAGCAGAGGCACAATGTATCTACTTCATTGACACTGTAAACTGAAGGTTCCCAATTTTGTTATGCCAGAGGTTGTTGAATGCCAGTTCCCAGAGATCTCAGCTAAAATGTCCAGTGGTCAGGGATGGTGGGAGTTGTAGCCCAGTAGCATTTGGAGGTCTAAGTTTAGGATCCTCAGCCTTGAATGCACACACATGCATAATCACGCAGACTGTGGGAGGGACAGTGAGGAAGAGATCCACTTGTTATTTAAATAAGTGAAATGCACATAAAAATCAAATTCAGTTTCATTTCTGCAGGCAGTGGAATCCTTTTTAAAATGATTGAAAATATAATTATGTGTGCTAAGAATAAAGTCAAGTGCTGCGTTGTGATAGCTGTGGCATCACGGAGAAACCAGAAAGAGGTATCAGCATGTTTGGGAAAACTCTAGGCTTACAGAAATAGGGGAGAGGATCTAAGAAAACAACTAGACAAGAGGACAAAAAGGGCTAAACTAGAAAGGTTTGGTTTTTACTATAATGTAATATATATGACCCAAGTGGTGACGTTGTAGTGACCTGGATATATCGAAGGCCATGGTGAAAAATATATTTGCCATGGTTCTTGGTAATCCTAAGTAATAGGGTCAAAGATAGGCATGGGTCACCTCTAGGAATCTAGGGTTAATGTCGCCTTCTTCAGGTACAGCCACAGAGAAACCTCTTCCAAAAATGTTTTTTTTTCTCAAATTAGGAAGCAATTTAACTGGGTTGTTGTAGGTTTTTTGGGCTATATGGCCATGTTCTAGCTGTTTCGCCTGCAACTATGGCAAGCATCCTCAGAGGTTGTGATTTATTGCTTATTTCACATAGACAAAGAACTCTTGTCTGCTGGAGCTAGGTGTGAATGTTAATATTAAAAAAATCTAAAATTACAACAGCAAAACAACAGAGGAAAAACAATCAGGGACATTTAATCACGTCTCAACAAAAGATTGCCGCAGGCAATGCTAATCAAGATGGTCAGTTGAAACATTCACACCTAGCTCCAGCAGACAAGAGTTCTTTGTCCCACCATGGTCATTCCACAGATATATAAACCCATTTTCCTAGTTCCAACAGACCTCACTACCTCTGAGGATACTTGCCATAGATGCAGGCAAAATGTCAGGAGAGAATGCCTCTAGAACATGGCCATATAGCCCGAAAAACCTACAACAACCCAGTGATTCCGGCCATGAAAGCCTTCGACAATACAGCAATTTAACTATTTCTGATTTTGATTCCATTCCCCTTTTCTCATGGACTTAATCTCCATGATTTAACTTACCCATACATCAACAAATATTCCTTCCTGGAAGTGTTTGTGAACTTCTCTAGCCATCCAGTGCCATTTTCTGGTATGCTTCCAGTCCACATGTAGTCAAAACATAGGGTCTGCTATTATCTATAGGGGATTCTTAGAATGCATCCCAGTGGATAAGTACTAAAACATACACATACATACCAGAATCACCCACTCCCAAAGTATATTTTCTCCCATGCTTTTTTTTTTAGAACAGGAAGTAACAGAAGGCCATTTTCTGGTATTAAGCAAAACAAAAATGTACCCATCTGTACATATCAAAATAAGGTTTTTGTTTTTAAAAATACTGTTCCTGGAGGCTTCCAGAAGTCTTTTTGCAATTTGACATTTTTATTGGACAGGCAAGTTTAGAAACATTTGTACAATTTCACTGCCCTTTTTGGTACTCTTGTGCATTGCTGGTTTAGTTTTACTTGTAGTAAGCTTGCTTTGTCCTTAACTTACAACAAATGCACAGATCTGCAAATCTATGCTGTGACACCAATTCCAGAAAGTCAAGAAGTACTGCAGAGAGAAGGCATTCCAGATAACATCAAAAGTTTTTACAAAGTTAATCACATCTGGCGATTCCGATATGACAGGCCATTCCACAAAGGGACCAAAGACAAGGACAATGAATTCAAGGTACCGCATTTTGTCAGTTCTAATTAACATGCATTTGATTTATTTCCCATATTTTATTTGAATAGAGATGTCACAAGAAACCAGATCACTTCTTAGAGTTGTCTACATGTCACTAGATTTGTCCATACAAAGTACCTCCTAGGGAGTGAACAGCAACTAGTTTTCTACACCACGGAATTATGTGCAAATAAAATAATGAGTCATTCTTTAAGGCAGCTTTTTTTGCTATCTGCACTATTACATTTCCCAGTCAAGTAAAACAAGCGTGTTTCTTCTTCCCTTCCCTACCAGAGTGAAGCTGTGGTGAAATAAGTTTCGGAAATATCACTGCAAAACTCAGTCTGTACCAAATTAGCAATTCATCCAGCCCAGGTACCAGGATGCTAGCTCCCTAGAATCATAGAATCATAGATTGGAAGAGACTTAATGGGCCATCCAGTCCAACTCCCTGCCAAGAAACAGGAAAATCGCCTTCAAAGAATCCCCAACAGATGGCCATGCAGCCTCTGTTTAAAAGCCTCCAAAGGAGCCTCCACCACACTCCTGGGCAGAGAATTCTACTGCCAAACAGCTCTCACAGTTAGGAAGTTCTTCCTAATGTTCACGTGGAATCTCCTTTCCTGTAATTTGAAGCCATTGTTCTGCGTCCTAGTCTCCAGGGCAGCAGAAAACAAGCTTGCTCCCTCCTCCTTATGACTTCCCCTCACATATTTATACATGGCATCATGTCTCCTCTCAGCCTTCTATTCTGCAGGCTAAACATGCCCAGCTTTTTAAGCCACTCCTCATAGGGCTTGTTCTCCTGACCCTTGATCATTTTAGCTTGTCAACATCTCCCTTAAATTGCAGTGCCCAGCATTGCTCCTCCGTTAAATTGCTACTTAGACAAATCAATATAACTGCCAATGTTTCCCTCCTCATTGTTCCTCCTTCCCTAAATGGATTATAGGGACTTTAGTGGCCCATGTGTGGAGCCTAAGGTGGATAGATTCTATGGCTTCTGGAGTTTCATGAAAACACACTAGTACCTATAGGGAGGAGAAAAATATGTGTATGCTTACATATTGGTGAGTAAGGACTTGCCTGCTGCGTTTTACAAAGGCAAGATTGGGAGAGTGGCTAAGGCTGGATCTACACTGCCCAGCATCTGATCCCTTATCCCTTCTCCCAGATTATCTGACAGTGTAGACTCATATAATCCAATTGGAAGCAGATAATCTGGGATCTGATCCTGGGATACAGGGCAGTGTAGATCCTCTTAAGAGGTGAGCTATTGCCAATAGCACCACCACCCTGGCTTTCTATATGTAATAAGTTCTGTAAGTGTTAATAAGTACTAAGTTCTGTAAGTGTTGGTTTCAGATTTTATGTAATATGGTAGACTGGAATATAATCTGACCCTAGATGACACAGTTTCACTTTCCATAATGGACCATCCTCCACCAATTTAAACCCCCCTAAACTTGTCTATACCATTCTTTAACCTCCGTAGAGGGACTCAGGACGGTTCACAGCAAGGATTCAATGCTAACAAATAAAACCATTTAAACATCATACATAACAATGGATAAAAATACAATAAAATAACATACAAAAAAAACCAGTTCGCCAAGTTAAAAACAACGTCTGACTCAATCCGCACTTTCTGGGAATGCCTCGTTCCACAGCCACGATTTCACCTGTTTCCTAAAGGTCAGGAGGGAGGTAGCAGATCTAATTTCATTTGGGAGAGAGTTCCATAGCCGGGGGGCCACCATAGAGAAGGCCCTGTCTCTCATCCCCACTAGACACGCTTGCGAAAGTGGTGGGACTGAGAGCAGTTGTGTGTGTTTTTTTAAATACTTCATTTAATGAAGTATCATCTCCTCTTGTATGCTTCCATGGAAACTGTTGTTTGCCTCCTGTTCTGTTTAGGATAGCAAGCAAGACCCCTCTTTTAGACCATTTCTCTGTGCTCTTTTGTAGCCACACAATACTTTTTAAAACATTTTTGATCTAGTGGAAGGGAATTAGGGCAGTCTTCCCAAAAAAGTGCCTTCCAAAGTTGTTGGACTTTAATTTCCATCATTCCAGCCAGGATGTCAATTGTCCATCAATGTATCTGAAGAGCATTAGAATAGGGAGGGCTGATTTATGTTCCTCTCTTTGTTTAATCATTGTTTCTGTAACTCTATTACATTTTGTCATCGTGAATAGAAAAATAACATGCTTGCGATGAAGGAGTACAATTTCTAAATGCAATGAAACAAAGGTGTACTAGCAGTGGGCACTCTTTTCCCTCAGTAAAAGAAGCAAACTGATAAGCAATTTGGTTTTTCTTTGTCTCAGAGTTTGTGGGTAGAGAGGACTACATTGATTTTGGTGCAGAGTTTGCCTGGAATTTCCCGTTGGTTTGAAGTGGAGAAACGTGAAGTGGTGAGTATGAAGAGATGAGGGAGACGGGGGAGGATAGTGTTACTGTAATTTTCTTAACAGGGATCCTAACAAGACACTGCTTTAAACTGGATATCAGAGTAATTAATGGCAAATGAAATAGTTATGAGTTAACTCAATGTAGAAGGTATTGGACAGAAGAAATTAAGCCAAACAGAGACAATGGTATATAATTTTCTAAGATGTTAAATGTGTTGAAACAACAACAACAATAAAAATACAACCATTGCATGAACTCTGTAGAGATACAATTGAATCATAGAGTTGGAAGGAAACTTTTATTCCAACCTCCTACCAATGGAAGAAAGCCGTAGCCAATGCATGGCTTACAGATCAGTCCAACCTCTGGTTGAAAACATTAATGGAGGGAAGTCCACCATCTTCCAAGGTATTCTAGTCCACTGCCAAACCACTGTCTTTCTCGGTTTGGCTTGATTTCTTCTATCCAATACCTTCTATGCTGAGTTCGTATTTTTTCCTAGTGATTTCCTTTTTTGTAATTTGGTTCTTTGGAATGCAGTAGCAGAAAACAAGCTTGCTGCATTGTCTACATTACAGCCCTTTGGGTATTTATCACCTCTCAGTATAATAAATTCTAACCCAAAGAAATAAAAAATACATCTTGATATTGAAACATGTGTCTATAGACGAGATGCACATAAAGATAAAGTTATAAACAGCTAATACTCAATATATTTATTTTGAGATCTGAAATTCAAGATATTCAGGTTCCATTAGGAGACCTGTCCAATAATCTGCTTTCAGGATCCTTCTTAATCATGGAATAGCTTTTTGTATGACAACCTTATGCATTTCTTTTATTTTAATGAAGATTTTTCCTTTCTATAAGTAAGTTACATACTAAGGTTAGTGTGTGTGTATTTGATTTATTAGATGAACATGCTTCAGTAGATGGAGTCATCAATTATGATTAAAAAAATGAATCGCATAGTTCAATAACTTCATAACATCGGGATCTCTAGCCAATTATAAATTGCAAGTTCAAAATCTGTGTGTTTTAATCCTGATTAGAATTAATCCACTGAATCAGTGGAATCTCTTAAGACTAATTGGTTCTCCGGATCTACTCTAGTTGGACAATTGGATTTAACATCAGTGTTTAACCCAGACTTCAGTTGTATGTTCCATATCAGATACTTCAGTTTGTTAACACTCGTGCCTATTGAATACTATTTTAGTAGGAATATGACTATTTCTGATTTTGAAGCACAGTGGTCCTACTACAGGCATGGGCAAACTTCAGTCCTCCCGGTGTTTTGGATTCAACTCCCACTGAAGGACTGAAGCTGGTAGGGCTGAAGGTTGCCCATGCCTGCCCTACTAGATGGGCAATGATAACAGCTGTGATTCAACACAGTTGGAGAGCACCATGTTGAGACATGTTGCTACATTCTTTCCACGATATGCATTTATACAATTTCAGATTCACATTTTGAACAGCTTCAGGTCATTTCCAAAGGAACTAAGCCATATCTTCTAAACTAAATGCAACTTCAGAATGAGAAGTTTTTATCTGAAAGTATGTGCATGTGTCAGAGATATCAATCCATGACTATTTCATCCTGAACAAGAAAGAAGATGTGAGGACAAATAATTAAATTAGATTTCTCTCTGTAGTGCTACAAAATGAATATGCCCTTGAGGCATTCATCCTGTATTAGAATGGCCTAAGTGCTACAAATGATTTATTCTTACAAATCACCCCTCCAAAAGCATTTTTCTTTACAGAATTATTCCTGCATGATATGTTTGGACATTGAATAGGAGGAGAAAATTGCACAGAATCCTTGCTGGTCTATTATTGTTCCTAGAGCAGAGTTCCTAGCCAATAATTGAATGATCTTTCCATCCTTTCTGCCTGTGTGTCAGTGTACACATGTATTTTTCAAGGGAGAACCCCAATTTATGTGGGTAGAACAGACCACTGTTCAACTCTGCATTCTGTAAAGCTTGTCATTTCTAATATTTGTAATGCAGCATGATAGCTCGGCTACTTATTTATTACTCAAGGCTCACATTAAATGTATATCATTGTAATTTGTAATTTCCCTGAAAATTGGTTTTAATACCACTTGTAATTTTATAATCAGAAGCTTTACATATCATTCTAGCTTCCCTCAAGGTTCAATTTTGTGATACGAAATCCATAACAACAAGAACAACAACAACAATTTATATATAGCCCACCCTCTCTCTCCGCAGGGACTCAGGGTGGCTTACAACAAAATAAAACACAGTGGCAAACATTCAATGCCAAAGATAATATATAAACAAATCATAGAAACACAGAGCATCTTTGATTTTGCTGAAGGAAAAAAAAAAGGGAGAGAGAAACAATTATGTATTTGCTATTTGCTGAAACTTCAAGAATCCAATTTTGTTGCTCAATTTTGGTGATTGCAAATGATATGTTAAATAACTGGCACATAGGCAGATTGGTGGGTGCATTTTTGTTTTCCAGGTGGAAATGAGCCCTCTGGAGAATGCTATTGAAGTGCTGGAAAATAAAAACCAGCAACTGAGAACACTGATCAGTCAGTGTCAGACTCGACAGATGCAGAATATTAACCCTCTCACAATGTGCTTGAATGGGGTCATTGATGCAGCTGTGAATGGTGGAGTTGCCAGATACCAAGAGGTAAGTTGTTCTTACACATAGAACTTGGGCAGTCTGATGAATTTTTTCTTTCATCTCTATCCCATACCACCCCCTTTTTTGGATGAATTGTAGTTATTCTTCTACATGTTCTCTGCCAGCAAAACAAACTATTTTATATAAAACTATATATATATATATATATATAGATAGATAGATAGAGAGAGAGAGAGAGAGAGAGAGAGAGAGAGAGAGAGAGAGGCTGGAATTACATTTAAAAATATATCTGTTCTGACTTACATGCAAATTGATCTTAAAAACAAACTTAAACAATGTACCTTGTTTGTAACCTGGGGAATGCCTTAACTTTACTATGGTCCTCTGGGACAGATGTGGCCTACAGCAGCAGGTCTGCTCACTAACACTGGTGGGCAAGGGAGGCTTTTTAGAAATGTAATAGTTGTGTGGAGACCCTTTTTTAAAGAGAGGGTACTACTGATGTGAAGGAAGGTCTTAACCCTTCTCACTCCGGTGTCTCCAACCTTACCCCCACTCATGATACTTTGTGAAATTGTGCTTGGAAAGGCTGTTCTATTGACGCAAATAGAAGGCTTTTCCCAAACTAAATTTCAGCCAGGAGAGTTTGTGCATTTTTCTTTTGATTTTTGGACTTACTTATAACGTGTTTTCTACTCGTTGGTTGTTTTAAGCTGTATACAAGATTCAAATAGGAATATGGTGAGTCTAAATGAGTTAAAATTTCACTATGAGAAAATAAAAATTCGAGCCCAAACATGTAATTACATTAAAATGACAAAGCAACACTTTTTTTTTTGCTTTATATTTTATTTATAGAAAAAAGTGATCGCCTACCCAGAAGCATAAACATTGTCTAGGTCAGGCAACTAAACAATAACCTATATATCTAGAGAGAGAGGGTGGGGGAGAGAGAGAGATGGAGAGAGGGAGCCCCTGGTAGCGCAGCGAGTTAAACTACTGAGCTGCTGAACTTGCTGACTGAAAGGTCGGTGGTTTGAATCCAGGGAGCAGGGTAAACTCTCACTGTAGGTCCCAGCTGCTGTCAACTGAGCAGTGTGAAAACATGCAAAAGTTAGTAGATCAACAGGTACTGATTCTGCAGGAAGGTAATGGCACTCCAGCAGTCATGCTGGCCACATGACCTAGGAGGTGTCTACAGATAATGCAGGCTCTTCTGCTTAGGAATGGAGATGAGCACCATCACCTAGAGTTGGATACGACTAGACTTAATGTCAAGGGGAAATCTTTACCTTTTTTATAATGGAAGGAATGGAAAATAGCGAACACCTGCACTACTAAAACTTAACATCATTTTGAACAGTTTCATAAAATATGCACATTTGTTAAGCTGAAGTTCATAACAGAGTCTTGGTTTTAGAACACAAAGATCTGGCTCCTTTAGATTTCAAGATGTTTGACTCACTGTATGGTAATGAGTGTATCGTGAAAACATGTACCGCCATCGAGGTAAATTGAGTATGTATCAGTGGGTTTAGCTGAGAGCTCTTGTAAGCACATTGTACTCTGAACTAACATGGATGACCTTGTATTCTGCTCAGGCATTTTTTGTAAAGGAATATGTCCTGACTCACCCAGAGGATGGAGAGAAGATTGCATGCTTGAGAGAACTGATGCTTGAACAGGTAAAGGAAGAGCCGAGTATCCTGTGTTCTATCTCTTCTGGCTGAGGTTGTCAGTCTCTGTTGTAGCAAAAATTGACATATGCACCTGGGAAAAAGTGTTAACATGGAAATGTTCCACTATTCATAGGGCTCCAGGATTTCTTGACTGTTCAGAAAGCAATGATAGGGGGTGAGAAAGCAAGCTAAATGTTATTAACCTTAACTCTCTGATCTTTTAAAATGCCTGTTTCTCACAGGTTTAGGAGCACAAACGAAATGCAAGAGTGGGTGGCAGGCAGATTTTGCATGTGATTGCTTGCTTTTTTTTTAAAAAAAGTGCTGCTTGAAATTCGTTGTCAGAATGATGCCATCTGGCTTCAGTGAAGGAGCGAAGAGGCTCCAGACCAATGCAGCGTTTTAAGAAATAATTACAAAGGTTATATTACAATGTCCATTCAGTCCTTTAAGAAATAATTTATTCTGAAAGCTAATTCTTTGTAATTCATTTCTCTTTAAATGCTGGTGTTTCTGAAGGGTTGCCCCCCACCCCAAGAGTAGTCTTGTAATGCAGCTTGCTTGTGGTTATCTATAATAATCCATAAGCATTAACTTAACAAAGTGTTGTTGAAGGCTCTCGTAGCTGGAATCACTGGGTTGTTGTAGGTTTTTCAGGCTATATGGCCATGTTCTAGAACGATTCTCTCCTGACGTTTCCCCTGCATCTTTGGCAAGCATCCTCAGATATTGTGACCTCACAACCTTTAAGGATGCTTGCCATAGATGCAGGTGAAAGGAAAGGAGAGAATGCTTCTAGAACATGGCCATATAGCCTGAAAAACCTACAACAACCCAACTTATCAAAGATTTATACAAGCTTGTTGTTGTTTATCCGTTCAGTCGCTTCCGACTGTTCATGACCTCATGGACCAGCCCACACCAGAGCTCCCTGTCGACCGTGGCCATCCCCAGTTCCTTCAAAGTCAAACCAGTCACTTCAAAGATGCCATCCATCCATCTTGCCCTTGGTCAGCCCTGCTTCCTTTTTCCTTACATTTTCCCCACGCTAAACTCTGGATTTTTGTAACGGACAGTGAACTGAACTGGACAGCATGGTTTGATTGATCGATGTTGTTGTTCATTCGTTCAGTCATCTCCGACTCTTCGTGACCTCATGGACCAGCCCACGCCAGAGCTCCCTGTCGGCTGTCACCACCCCCAGCTCCTTCAATTGATACAGCTAGGTAATTTAAGCTCCAGATTCAATATCACAGGGAGCATCCTTTACACAACTAGGGGTCTCATTACACTAGAGTTTAGGGAGGAATCTTTAACAGCCTCACTAAACTATAAATCCCAGAATTCTGCAGGAAGCAGAAACCGGATTTAAACTGGATTCATTCTCTAGTGTGATGAAGTAATATGTGTATTACATCAGTGTATCACATTCATTGTGACACACACAGCTAATACCTTTTAAAGGCAAAATAGTAAAACAACCCTCCGAAATATAATACTTTATATACTTTATATTCCTGCATGTGCAGTACTTATCTTTAAAGATAAGAAAAGATGGCGTAACTAAGAGAGCACTGTTGACCTCTCAATGTTTCCTAGTAGATCTGGGCCAGCTGGGATGTTGATGCTGCTTGCTTCTGAGTCTGACATTACCATACTATTTCTATGTTCCCACTTGGTGGCCTTCTTGGCTATAGGGCTCTGGACTTTAACACTAAAGACCAGCCCTAACTAGCTTGAGCAAGTCCTGGCAACCATAATTAATTCAGACAGTGACAAAGAGTGGCAAAAGCTGCAGTCAACAGTTATTTGGAGGTCCAAAGATTGTCTACCCCTTCCCTTCTCCAATAGAACAGAAGCTTTGGATTTCATTGTTCATTCACTGCTGCATGTTTTTCCTCCAATGAAATGTTAAATGTCTTTTCCTTGAAATGATCTGTGGTTTGAAATTGATTTATGAAGCTCGGCTGTTCTGGCAAATGATAGTTAAGAATAACAAGTCTTTAGCACAGGAATAGGCAACCTGCAGCTCTCCAGATGACTTTGGACTGCAACCCCTGTTGTCCCTTGCAATTGTTGGAACTTGCAATCAAATGACAGCTGAAGAGTCAGGCGATTCCCATTTCTGTTTTAGGTTTAGGGTGTAACACTAAAATTTAGTTAATTTAAACCAGATAGAAATTTCCATCAACCTCCACATTTCAGATATGTCAAAGAAGAAGGGGGTGTAGTGAATGAGCATGAAGTACGTATATTGAAAATAGTTTATGTCATGATAGACCATAATTTCTTGTGAAGTTCCAGATTGGCTCGTATCGATAAAACTTCTTTGTAATTGTCCCTGCAGTGGTCTGAATGCATACTGTTAGCCCTGGCAATGAATTCAGTCCAGTTTCTTATCAAGGAGATACTCAAAGTGGTAAACCTTCTCTCCCAAAACCTATCCATTGCCCCTGATAGCTCATTGAAAACTACTCAAATTTAAAGTGGATTTACCTCCCTCCTGATGTGGGATTTATTTGTCAGTGACTGCTGTTAATAATTTTCACTTGACAATTCCTCGTTGTCCAAGTATGATGGCCTTCCAAGTGTAATAATTTTTAGTAGGCAATTCCTCGTTGTCCAAGTATGATGGCCTTCTAAGTGTAGTGTATTTGCAGTGGATATGTAGGTGACTGTGAAGCTCTATTCTTGATCCACATGTTCTTCCACCGTGAGGGCATCAGTTTCCAGGTAGAAGGCAGTCCTGGTCAGGGGTTGCTTGATATGCCTTCCTCTTGGCACATTTCTCCCTTTCACTCTCCATGTGTGCCTCGACAAATTCCACACCACTGCTAGTCACAGCTGACCTCCAGTTAGAACGCTCAAGGGTGAGGTCTTCCTAGTGCTCCATGTCTATGCCACAGGTTTTAAGGCCAGCTTTAAGCCCATCTTTAAATTTCTTTTCTTGTCCATCAGGGTTATGTTTCCCATTCTTGAGTTGGGAGTGTAGTAACTGCTTTGGAAGACGGTGTGGGCATTCAGACACGTGGCCAGTCCAGCGGAGTGGATGGCGTAGGAGTGTAGCTTAAATGCTGGTGGTCTTTGCTTCTTCCAGCACACTGACATTCGTCCACCTGTCTTCATTCTTGAAAGATATCAATAAAATGACTGAGTTGTATATTTATATGAAGACAAGTATAAGAATATAAAGAAAATTAACCCTCGTTCTCCTTGCTTTTTTGCATAAAGGCCCAGATTCTAGAATTTGGACTAGCTGTGCATGAGAAGTTTGTCCCTCAAGATATGAGGCCATTACATAAAAAACTAGTGGACCAGTTCTTTGTGATGAAATCAAGTTTGGGAATACAGGTAGGTGGGACTAATACTGTGAGCTGTAACTGATACATTCTGGTGGTGGTGGCTGTTTGCGCTATAATGGTTAATACAGTCATTAAGCAACAAATGCTGACATCTTCTGGCTACATGGTTGTATTGCTATGCTTCCAACTTCATATCTCAAAGAGAAGAGCATACCGAGGCAAAGCACTGAAAACCTCTAGTTTCTTTAGCCTACAGTGTGTTATTGTTTCTGTTAAACATTTGGGGGGGAAAAACCACTTTTGGGGATTGCTATAACCAGATACTATACTAGGTAGGAGAAAAGCACTGTATTTTGCACACATAAAATCTGTCTTCAAAATATCACAGTGTATTATTTTTAATTCTTATCAATGTTATTTAAAATGCAAATACGTTCTTAGGAATTTGCTGCATGCATCCAGTCCAGTCCAGTTCATTTTCCAAATGGGAGTCCCCGCGTCTCTAGAAATTCAATGCCTGTTTCGATGAGCCCAGAAGGTGCCAGAGTAATTCCTAGACGTAGGTAAGTGGTAAAAAAATTCAATTTATTTTTGGGGATTGTCTAATTTTCGCCAAATTTGGACAGTTGTGAAAAGAATATCTGATAATATGAGCTGATAAAACTGTGATTGTAAAAAGATTGCTCGGATATAGAAAGGCATCAAATTTGGACAGGGTCAGCAACAGATACATCCTCCTGATTAAATTTTTAAGTCACTTTAGGATGACAATTCCCAAACTCTCTTGGGAACTAGTAGTCATCCATTCTAGTATCAGGGATAGGAACCATATTTGTGTCCATTGACTACAGTTGCTTCTGCGGTGGTTGATGGATCAGGGCCTGGCACTGGGCCATGGACCCTCACTTTGAATAGTACTCCACTAGAATAGCCTGCTATTATACAGTGGCAGCTTTGCTGTGGTCAACAGCATGTCTGAAAATGGCATAGATATGAATCATACAGGAATAGATTGGTCTGTGCATAAATACACTGAAATTCCTTCTGGATTATTAGCATTGCTATTTGGTGAGCTGAACTGTGAGTCCCAGTTGATGGCATTTGTTCTCGTCTTTGATTATAACAGCCCATTAAGTTACCCAGCTGTCAACAGATACTCTTCCTCATCATTATCCTCTCAAGCTTCTGCAGAGGTCAGCAATATAACTGGACAGTCCGAAAGTTCTGATGAAGTTTTCAACATGCAGGTAATAAGTGCTCTCTCATCTGCTCTGGATGAATTCTTATTATTCTTCAGATTTTTCTAATGGGTAAACAAGGAGTAGTACGGAAAAGTTTGAAATACCAAGAACTTCAATTTTTTTTCTTTTGGAGTTCAACCACAACCTGCTTGAGTGGTTCTATTGGGTAATGACCATTGAAACAACGAATGTTATGATGCAAAATATCCGTTAAGATATAAAATAATATACATGGTAGTAATACTTTATTTTTTTTAAACTAACAAAAACTAATAAAAAATCTTCACAAGATTATGAAAAAGCATCCCATGTGACTTACACAATCTCTGGAGAAGAACAAATAATTTACAGTGATATCTCCAAAGGAAATATGTGCTCTGTTCACTCATAATTCACTTTTAAAATTAGATACTAGTATAGGTGTCTACTTGCTAACTTTGAACTGGACTGTCATTGCGTTCCATTGTGAAGAAACACACAGGACGGGCTAAGAAATATTTCTATGAGAGTTAATGGTTAATTAATTCTAAATACAATAAAATGACCTGAGAGCTTGGAAATCATTTTCTAAATTCACTACAAGTAATAATTTTGAATAGCAACATTAACACATTGAGTTATTTTAATATCCTTTTAATCAGTTTCTTTTTGGTAGTAATCTAAGGGATTCTCAATTTTTGCCTATTGTGACCAGTTGTAATTCATTTTTAAGGTATAACTAATTACTAATTTGTTAACATAACAAATAATATAACAGTCTATTAACATTGATTTATTAATATCCACACTGACTCAAAGCCACAGCCATGTTAGTCTGCATCAGGATGAAAGTGATCTTGTAGCACATTTGAGATGGAGGCAAAGAAGTTGATAGCATAAGCTTTTGTAAAAAAAAATGTATTTTTTTTTGTAAATTTTTGTAATTTTTTGTAAATTTGATCTCCATGTGATGAAATAAACTTAAGTCGAAAAAGCTTATGTTAGCAAACTGCTTTCTCTCAGTTTGTCTCAAAGGCTGTCCTTCTGCTGTTAAAATATCAACAAATTAGCCTTAGCGCTAAATATTTCCATAGGCAGGGGTTATATTGTGGGTATAGAAGCAGTATGCCACAGTTTTCAAATGGAATAAAGAGAGAATGTAACTGGGATTTGAAACTTAATAGCATTAGGAAGTCAGGACTTCTTCTTTCCAGAGCTTCAACATGCTCAAAGCAGACTTTGTCTGTTGCAGTGGTTTCACCATGCTTCCATCTGTTCTCAACCTGTATGCTTCTGCATAAATGCTCATGTTACAAAACACCACGAGACTCCAGGTTGTCCTTCAAAAACTCAGTCAAATGGTGTGGCCTGGAAACTCTGCTCTGCTTATCTGAAAAATAACAGCACCAAAGGACAGTTTTAACAATGAGCAATAGAATTTCATTAAATACATTGTCGTGAAGCCTTTTCTGGGCTGTGCTTAAGATGCGGGATTCAGGAGATAAATATTCTGTCTCAACAAATAAAAAAATGAACATACTCTTACTCTTTATTAAATGTGTGCGTCCCTTTCTGTTGCATAAAATTCCCATTATCTTATCCACTGTTATCATGAACTACTAGGGCAACAGTTTGCTAGGGCATTAAACTGAATGCAATGGTGAATTGATGGTTGCGGAACAATATGAAGCGAATCTAGGCTGCAGTATTGTGCACATGTACCTCAAAATGATTTCCACCTAACACAGAGGGACTTACATCTGAGAGGATAAGTCTGGAATTGCACTATAAGCCATCTACTTATCATCCAATCATTCTTGCTTCACACTCTTTGCTTTTACAGTTCAAAAACTCCTGGAAGCCCATGTGTTGAGCTTTGGCTGTAATGTACCATATCATTAACCGGAACATGTCTGTTGGTTGTGGTTGTTGTTGTTGTTGCTTCCATCATCAAGTTGCATGATACTGAGATTTTGTGGCTCTTGTGTATTTCCAGCCAAGTCCATCTACCTCAAGCCTGAGTTCCACTCATTCCGCTTCACCTAATGTGACCAGCTCTGCTCCATCCAGTGCCAGAGGTTAGTGTTTCATTCCGTAGAGGAGCTTATGGAGGCTTCCTGGGCACAGAATGCCCTTGATGCTACTATTTCTTGATCACATCGTTTGAAAGCCTACAGTGGGAGATGAACCACTGTAAAGTCTTTTCTCTATATGCCTGCACCAAGATAATCCACCAGATCAAAGATGGGAAGAATTGTACTGATTCTGTAGGTTTCTCTTGTATTCCAGGCTCACCTCTGTTGTCTGACAAGCTTAAACATTCCAGAGAAAATTCTTGCCTATCTCCAAGGGACAGGCCCTGTAGTGCCATTTACTCTAATGCTGCTGAGCCTTCACAGGTAGGCGTTCTCAGGGCCCCCTTTTGTGGTGGTCCTATAGCATACGGGCTGCTGTGGGGCAGAAATGTTATTGATCCTTCAACCAGTTCATACCTGGGTGTCTTTTCTGTGTTTGGTGAAGATGCAATAGATCAGACTTAACAGGAGGTCCTTTGCAAATATTAACGCATAGGAGTTTATTCTTAGAGAAAGTAATTAGGACATAGCTTGATTTCTGAAAATGTCAGCCTCCTAGAATTCCTTGGAAGGAATCTTAGAGAAAGATTGTGATGGAAGAGATTAATAGATAATGGCCTTTTAAAATTAGTAATACTGCAATGTAATTTAAAGTGAGTTCAATCTACTCACCCCTTTTCATTTACATATATCATTTCTAATAAACAGGCATTCTGTTCAACTAATACATCTACCCTTGGAACATTTCTTAAAACTCTTGCAGTCCATTTTATTTTCATATCATGTCATTAACAACTTCATTCTAATGCTGAGTCTTGGATAAATGGTTGGTCCAACTGCCCGTGAATTGTAGAATTCTGGCCTTGTTAGGAGATCACTATACTAGTTCAAAGAATCTCAACTTAGACATAATGTAGATTCTCCCCCAACCCACTGGATCTTTGTAATTAATTTTCTTGAACAGGGAATACTTGCTTACATGGTTCTGTGTAGTTTTATGCTTTGGTCCCTCCTGGTTGTCTAACTTGCTGCTTGCTGCAATAAGCTGCTGCTTGCTCAATGACAGCAACTTCTTGGCAAACCTTGGCAAATGCTGAATTCAGTGTACCAACCTTTGGAGCAGGAAAGGGTTCCGGAAAAATGTTCTGTATGTAAAGTGGCTTTTTAAAACATGCCACAGAGAAAGAAATGTGCCCTTTTTGCTCCCAGCCTGCAAACGCTTGCTTTGCCAAGTGGAATGAAGCCTCCATTCCTCGCTGCATCAGAGATTCACCAAAGGAGGTTGAAGAGCATGTAGGCCCAGTATCTGCTCTGCCAGAGGCTTACCTGACAGGAAAATCTCCCAATCTACCAACATCCTCAGTAGCCCCTGACAGGGTAAGTAGCAACAAAACATTTTTCTCATACAAACATTATGAAGAGAGTGACTCAAGGAGTCTCTTTTTCACCCTCTCTCCTTAAACCGAATCCAAGAGAGGGTTTGGTGCCATAGAATACCATGAACTGCTAAGTTTTCTGGGTTCTCATAGGAGAAATGGCACACTGTTACACCTGAGATTATGAAGTTATTTTTCAAAGGCTTTGAGCATTCCCTTGGATTCACTGCACACCTAGGAAAGAGTCTTTCTGCGGCTGCATTCCGAACCAAAAAGCATAGGATGCTAATATTGTCATCTCAGGCAAATAAAAAAATTGCTATAATAGACCTGAAAATTTAAACCATTACTGTCATAAAACTGGAGACATTTACTGAGGGCACTTAAAGGTAGGAGCAAGACTTGAGCCACACGTCTATCATTGCTACCTTTCTTCATGTTTTGGGTGGCTGAACCTGTCTGTCTCATTCTTTTCCATGCTATTCCAGGTCTGCTCCTGGAGCCACAAAACTCTATCCTTCTCCATCTCACAAAACTACGTCCAAATCTTTTTACATCAATGACTTGCCTGGTTTTTGGAATGGGAGATTCTATAAGCATGGGATAGGATGGTGACTTTAGTTACCTAGTATCTATATCTCATTATCATTCCGTTTGGCTCCTATGAATGGACATGTTGGGTGATCAGACCAAATTGTCATTATGGTTGATACCAAATTGTCATTATGTTTGATTGCTTTTTGTTTTGAAAAAGTCGCTTGCTGAGCTGTTACTCTTGTCTTTTTCACCCTCTTCAAGCTGAAATGCTTCCATGCTTGCTAGTAGACTAATTTGGGCTACATTTAGTATCTATTCTATATTAGCTGTAGTTGCTGCAGTCTTTTATTGTTTCCTTTTCTTTTTTCTTGAATATTCCATGTTTTCTTCTGCTCATGAAACTAATATTTACCTTTGATAACTGGTAATTTGCCTATCAATTTCCTTCCACCATTTTATATATGACTTTATTACTTTTGCTTGTCTTCCTATATATTTTACAGAAAAATCACTATGTTTTTAGTTCTGTTCAGTATTGCATTTGCAAACTTTGATTTTCAAAGCTTTAGACAGAAGTATAGACTAGACCATGATATAAAATGGACATGAGTAACAGTTTAGCATTTGTAACCCATACATTTCCCCCTTTTAACTTTATCTCTAGTCCTTACGAAGGTCTATCAAGGTTGTTACAATATAAACATGTTAATCAGTTGTGTACTCCTGCACATATTAACTCTGAATTGGACTTGAGTGTCTTTTGACTCAAAATTGCCTTCAGAACAAAAAAGAAATCATTTTTTTTCTGGTGACATTGATAAAATGGTTTTTAGTCATAGACTGTGCTTTATTTTGCTGCTTTTACAAACTTGATTTGATTATTCCACTTTGAGGAGATTGTTTAAAAGCAACATAAACATGCAATGTCAGGCCTTACTACATCCTAAAAAAATCTTCCATTACACTGAGTCAAATGTACAAGGGTTATCTGGAAAGTAAGGTTACAAGACTTTTTTTAAAAATACAAAGAATGAATATATTTGAAAACTTACATGGATTGTAGCATAGGTATTACATTATTTTTCTACATAATCACCATTCAGTTCAATACATTTTGTTATCCATGGGATGGGTTTTTGATGCCTGTGTCATAGAAGTCCCCCCCCCCGCGCCTTTTTCAGCCAGTTTGTCACTTGGATTTTCACCTCATTGTCATCTGAAAAGTGTTTTCCACCAAAGTGTTCCTTCAATTTAGTGAACAGATGATAGTCACTGGGTGCGAGATTGGGGCTGTGAGAAGGGTGACTTAAAACATCCCAACCAATGAAGTTGACAACGCTTGCGTTGCATGAGGGGTGTGTGAATGTGCATTGACATAAAGGAAACAGACTCCCACCATCAGCATCCCACGACGTTCGTTTTGGATGGCTTTGCAGAGTTTCTTCATGGTCTCACAATATATTCTGTATTCATTTTGTCACATGCTGTCTTGACATTACGTCCTCTCCATAAACGGAAACAATTTCACAATGAATCACAGTGGCATTTGTGCCCTTAGCGTTTAGGTAGCATATTACAGCACGAACTTCACACTTAGTGGGAACCGGAATGAAGATGCTCACCTCTAACCTTCACCACAATGCCTGTCGATAAGCTTCTGCTGGCTTCCCGCTACATGGCAATGATACCAACTTCCCCCATGAAAATTCCCCATGAAAGCTACTTGCCTTGTAACCTTACTTTTCAGGTAACCCTCATAGTTGATTTAGAGTGTACCCAAAATAGGATAAAGATAAATTCTGTTAAGCAGAGAAACAATTAGAGGGCTTGTGCAAAACAGCAAAACTTTTTTCTCTATCACCTTTTTCATACTTCAGGAGTTTCTATAGTTGCATTGGGATGCATACTACTCCACTTCAAGCAGAGCTGGTGTTACTTTTAAGGTTGGGCAGGTTTTCATGGATCATGTACTATGAGGAGTGGAAGGAGCTTGGCTTGCTTTTTTAAAATGAAAAAAAAAATTGAACCACATAGAAAATAGATATAATAGGCTTCTGGAAACAATGTTTTTTAACTTGGGGGAACACTGGGACAGAGAAGGTTTGAGCAGCACTTTGTCCATTCCTGTACTATAGTTTAATTTGTTTTTTTTTAAGGAGGGTAGAATTTGTCCTTTGTACTAATCTTATTCAAAACATATCATATCTTTTTATGGAGTAATTACTGCTTGTTTTTCAGCAGAGAAGAGGCTTAATATTGCTTTGCTTCTCAGTTTTGTTTTGTCTTTAATAGACATCATCTTACAATTTGTAGTTGGAAAATCCATGCCATCTAGCCACATTTAAGCTGTTTTTAACTGAATATGCACTTCCTTTCTTTTTAATAGCTGTCATTCCAACATTTAACTTTACTTTGGCAAACACTGGCATTTGATGAAAGTGCTGTTTTAAAAATAGATTCTTCTGAATTTTTAGAGAATACTGTACAATCATATTGGAGATGGCGCTTTGCCTAGAAGTGATCCTAATTTGTCCGGTCCTGAGAAAGGTAAGTATTTGATTTTGTTATTTGTTCTTGTCTCCTGTAAAATATCTTGATCTGTTCCCACCAAATATGCAGCAGTTCAGTACCATGAAAATCAAGGCATCACGTAAAGATTGTGCACACCAAAGTATAAGTTATTATGGAACATAATCAGTTTAACATGTAGTACTTCTTACTACACTCCTGTAATGGAAACTGTAGTCCCAATACAGCTGGAAAAAATCAGGTTGGCAATTATAGCAATTGCCACTGTATGACATTCCTGTGGGATATTAAAGCATATCTAGATGATCTCAAATCAGAGATATATTGACCAGCTGTTCTATGTTAACTCTCAACAGTTTGGAATCTTGATGCCCATTTTTTTATTATTTTGCAGCTGTAAACAGCACTCCCAGCAGCTGGAGCCTAGATAGTGGGAAGGAGGCCAGGAACATGTCAGACTGTGGAAAACTAATGTCTCCTCCCGTTCCACCACGCCCCATGCAAACTGGTAGGTACAGATAGCACAGTCATTCTGCAACCTGTTGAATGAAGCCATCTCAGATTACTATTAGATTACTATTCCCATTAGAAAGACGTGCTTGTTTGAGCTCTTAAAGCTCAAGACTTAATCATAGGACATGAATTAATGATATGGACTCCTGCCATAACGACTATTCAGATTAGCCAGCTTTCAATGGTTCCCAGTCCAATAGAGAGCCAGCAGAGCCCAGCAGAGAGATAGTCAGCAAAGATAGTGAGTATTTATATTGGGTTGCAACTAACAATCTAGTAATGGATAAGTAACTGTTTCCAAGAATGTGATTCTCCTTTTTTCATCATTTTTTTACTGGCATGCTATCCAAGTTCAGACTGGGGGAGGAGTGCAATGAATTCAGCCAATGGCTCCCGTGTTACTTATCTTGATAAAATAATAGGAACACAGGAAAGTAAAAGCCCAGACAAAATCATTAGAATTCACCAACCTGTTCGCTTGATTATATATGCCTGTGTGTATGTCTTCCATCCATCTGCCATCCATCTATAGAAGCCTTCCTTAACATATTGACCTCCAGATGGGATTTCAAGGGATAGGATTAAATTGCAGGTGAACTATACATCCCAGTACCTACAACTCCTATAAATCATGGTGAATTCTCCCCAAACCTCTCTTGTATGTTCAGTTTCTGATCTAGTCTTCTGTTTGTTGTGTGCCATATGAAAGAATAGAAAAATGTTAAGGGAGAGGCAGTGGGCAGGGTCATAAAAATTCCACAGCAATGGTGAGAGTAAGAACCACTAAGATGTCTGTGGTGGAGGAAAAATATAAAATCTAGGATGAATTTGTCCCTGTATGAAAGTCTACACTTGAGTGATGGGCAGTATGGCTCTTGTGCATGTTTACAACACTCACTATAACCTGCAATGTAATTGGAGGGAGGCCACTGGTGTGTTCTGAGCAGTGGAAGTTATAGCTGTTTGTGGAGGCAGGAGCTTGTCTGTGTAAGTGGACACCCCAATCACATACACACATACATATTTTCACTTTTATTATGTGTATAGATTAAGGAATATTATTTTTCTGAGTAAAGTAAAGAAAAAGTTAACTGATTCATCCAAACTTGTTTTTCTTTACAGCATCACCAGCTCGACACCTCACCTCAGTTTCCCCCTCTCCTGCTGGAAGATCTCCAATGAAGGTATTGCCTGTTCTTCTTGGATTTTTAGAACTCTTCATTTTTCATTTTTGTGGAAGGTGGTTTTCTTTCTCTGCTGGTAATATTGACATACATTTCTTATATACATATTATCTGAAGTGAGAGGAATATTGGCAGGCATAGCAACGTATCAGTGAATTGCCCTGAGCTCCAAAAGCATACAGAATGGATGGCAGCTATTCAGAAAATGTAGGTCCAAATCCCACTGGTCGGTGGATCCCTGGATTATGATCACGGTGACATTCCTTAGTTGTGGTGATGTTTTAGCTGCAGAATCACAAGTATTGAATGACAAACATGCACATGATCAACTGAAATTAATATAGCTAAAGGTCCCTGTGTTGAAACATAAGAAATAATACCAAGCACTCATGTGAAACTTAGATTCATGTGTACCTGAGAATAACAAATAATTCAGGCAACGCAAAGAACAGTCCATTATAATGAGCAAGAGGTGAAGGAAACATTTGACAAGTGTTTGTCAATCTAAGGCAGTGGTTCTCAACCTGTGGGTCCCCAGATGTTTTGACTTTCAACTCCCAGAAATCCTGGTAAACTGCTTGGGATTTCTGGGAGTTGTAGGACAAAATACCTGGGGATCCACAGGTTGAGAACCACTGGCTAAGGGAATCATTGGATTGTATACTCAATCCATCACAGATTCCATTCATACATTCAATTTTGATGCAACATTGTAATCACAAGAACAATTTTCCTTAACTTTAATGAAATAAATATTTTCCATGAATATGTGCTATGTGTGATTTTTCTGTGGCAAGAGAAAAGACATGAAACAGGATCCCCATATTGTGAATGCTAGCTAAGGATATCAGATCAAATTCAGAAGAAATAATCTTTTGGTTTTGCCTCAACTATTTGTTTGCAAAGTCTGTTGCAATGTTAATTATTACACTGAACTATACATTCAATGAGGAGTGCCAACCTAATATCTGTTTATTGGCACTATTTATCCTCTGCTCTTGAAAGGGATAACTTAGGAGATAGAGAGCGAGTACAATGTTATGGTTTAAGCATTTGGACTATGAATCTGAAGACCAGGGTTCAATCCCACACTCAATCTTGGCAAATCAATAGATGACCTTTGAGAAGCCATACCCTGCTGGCCTCAGAGGGAGGGAAAGCAAACATTCTTTGAACAAATATTGCCTAGAAAATCCTGCCTTAGGTTCACCGTATCTCGGAAATGACTTGAACGCACACCTGTAAGTATAAAAATATAAAAACCTTTCATGTAAGTACTCATGCTTGGCATTAGAGGGCAGAATGTTACCACTAATGCGACTGAATGTACTGGGTTTTGAGAAGTTTTACAGTTTGACCAGTGAATAAATGTGTACATGTAAACAGTAGCACCATTCAGTTTTTGATTTAGAAGGCATGAAATCATCATTTCCAAATTGTTTACAGTTGTACAGAAGTAAATGATTGTTTATCCATGATTTGGTATGTCACTACAAAGAAGTACTTCTTGCCCTTCTGTATATTTGCCTTAATTATTTATGTGTTTATTGTTATCATCATTATTATTTTACCCAGAACTGTGTGCAATCGTTTACTCCATCTCCTGTGGACTACCATTCCTCTGGACTCATCTCTAACTCCCCAGTCTTGTCAGGAAGTTACAGCAGCGGTATCTCCTCACTCAGTCGATGTAGCACATCGGAAACGTCTGGCTTTGAAAGTCACATCATCGACCACTCAATACCAGTTTCTAACTGCAATATTTCTGAAGAACCAGTGAGAAAAGAAAGTAAGACTCCACCACCTTACAGTGTGTATGAACGGACACTGAAACGCCCCGTCCCACTACCTCACAGTCTTACTATCCCCATTCCTACGGATCCACCAGCACTGCCCCCCAAACCCCTCTTGGTCCGACCGAACAATCTGGAAAGTAGTAACAAGAGAACTGAACAGGTCCCACGTCCCAGGCCACTACCACGAAAAGTGTCTCAGTTATAGAAAGAAAGAAGGAAGGAACAGAAAAGAAGAGAAGCTAGTATGTCATTTTTGTAATGACAGGTGGAAAAGAAAACCACATCTAATATAGGCACTTTAATATTTTTCACAAAAATACTTTACAGTGGTTTTTTAATTGCTTAATATTATGTTGCACATTTTTGGTCAAATGAAAATATTAACACAGAATGCAAGATGTTACAGAAACAGGGAAAAAGACTGAGATAATTACTTTAGTATTAAGTACTGGAAAACTGGATGCATATTCATTTGAATGAGCTCGGTTTTTTCCTCCCAAATGTAATTTAATCAAAACTATACTTCCCTTCCTTGTTTATATGATGCTGTACTTTTTAGAGCATGCAAAAGTAGTATGGTTTAAACTAAGTATATTAAAAGGCTCTTGTAATAAGATGATTTCTAAATTTTTGCAAATGTTTTGAAAGCTCTTCTCTTTTGAGCCTCATAATTCATGTACACAAACAAAAATGATAAGTCGAATCATCAGACTACAATATTGAAAAGACATTGTTGTATCTGATTTCATGAAACAAAGTTCCTTTCTTTCTGAGAACATATTCCTGCATTTTATTAAATGTATTGATATACATTTCCAGATTTTCTTTTTTGCTTAAGGAGAAAAGTGTAGCACTATGCTATTGATGTGTCTTTGTGAGTCGCACAATTTCATCACAACTTATTTTTGCTTTTCTTGAGGTACAATTTACTTCACAGTTCTATATAGCTGATAAAATACAATTGTCATGGAATTTGGTTGCTGAATCTGTACCTAACATAAAAGTTCATTTTAGAAAAGCACCTTTTGTTTCAAAACAGGAAATTAATTATTGAGTTGTTTTTGTGGCATAAATGTCTCTGTCCTTTAGGGAACCAATGAATGACCATTGCCAGTGCTGTAAACAGAGCATAAAGAATGGAGATAATTGTGTACAAATACGTGTTCATGAGATCTAACTGGAAAGTGCATTAAATGTAGGGTTCAAATCAAAGAGCAGTCTAATTTTTAAAAAGGAACACAATGAATTGTATTTGTACTCTCTCAGCTTTTTAGCAACTTCTTTTGTCCAGATTGTACATGCCAGTACATGACAAAAGCTTTAGGAGCATCTGAGGAGAAGCTTTTTGCCCCATATTCCATTCCTTCAAACCAACTATGGATCTTATGCAGGATTTTTGGGAGGGTCTTGGCATATGCTTGTTGGCATTCCTTCAGAACATAGATGGCATGCTGTGTTAATTTGTATATTTTTCTCTATCAAGTGTAAGTTAGCATCAGAAGTTACAAAAGGATCAAATACTGGGATATTAGTGTGGCATTCTCAATAGATTATAAAAATCTTTGAAATATGCAGATGTAAGGATGCCACTGCTTCTCCAAGCAGGTCTTCCTGTATCTTTTAAGAAGCAGCATATAATATATGCTTGCGAAGTCTACAGTGATTGTTGTATATCTCATCAGAATGCAAATTATAAAATTGCCTTTAGGCATCTTGGCCTAACAGAAAGAGAAAAATACTGGATGAAGGAATTTTGCAGTTCTGGACTCCCAAGAAGCAAATCCAGATCTCCCAAGGCAAAAGAACTGAGACATGGACTCTACATGTTTATTTGACCTCCCTTTTGTGAGACAGCATTCCTCCATCCTACTGCTATCTGTTCCACAGATGTAGAAACAGAAAACTTGCCCATAACTAAGAAGTGCTCCATTGTGGCGGACCTGTTCCTGCACAGTGTGCTATCTGGAAGTGTCCTTGCCAGATAATATTTTCTAGGTAGAGTTAGGGTTCATCCAAACTGATTAAAAAGACCAGAAGCTCCCAGATTGTGTTTTTGTTCTTTTTTATTTGTACACATTTTATTTATTCCAGAATATTTTCTGTCAGTTCTCAGTCCAATCAGTGACTTTTAATACTAGCACCTCAGGTCATTTTTTTAACCCAATGTAAAATTGGAAAGAACAAAACCTGGAACTTTTCAATCAGTTTGGATGGGTCTGGAATGCTCCTGTAGAGCCTTTCAGAAACTCATGTTCAGCTGTAGGAGTGTCAAGACTAAAACAACTTGGTTTCCCCCATATATGTACTGTTTCTGAATGTATGACCTGTCTTTTTCAGTCATACCATGAAAAAGTTATCTCCCTGTTTTGTTGGGAAGCTTGTGTTGATTTAACCGTGCGCCTTGTTCATAGCTTAACTGGAACATAGTGACCACTTTTTATATTCCTTCATTGAAACCTTCAGCAGGTATATGCTGTTAATGGTAGCTATAGAAGTTTTCTATAATAAATGTTCAAGTATTTTTGTATATAACTGGTTAATTTTAATAAGGAGTACAGCTATGTGGGGCGGGTGGGGGGAGAAGCGAACAGTTGTGTATGCAGTATGATTGTTATAATTATGCCAAATACTTTATGTAAGTGGGGGCACAGGGAAGACTATTTGTACATATGTGCTTTTAACAATTCTGCCATATTGATTCTACAACTTTGAATGTCAGAAAAATATATTAATATATGTTGAAATATCTATGTTTAGCAAAAGTGTTTATAACTGGAAAAGGAGCATATGGATTTTAGCTTTGTACCTTGCTGATTTTGAAGTCCTGAGATTTCTTGAACTTGCTCTTGCTTTTGATCATAACATTTTTGATGTGTCTGCATAACCAGATTTTTGAAACTCTTAGTTACATATTTATGCTTTTTTTTTTTTAAAAAAAAGACAAACAAAATGGTATTGTAATTTAAATAAAGTGTCACAAACTGGATAACAAATCCACTTTCATCCCTCCTTAGCTTATACATACAGCTGAATTTGTGTGTTGCTTGGTACTTCAGCTTAGTCTGAATCAGTGTTATTTGCTCCTCAAGTCCATTTAAAAATATATTCAAGAATAAGAAGTTTTACTCATGTGCACGTATTACTGATGTCTGCTAGCAGCAAAACATTTTAATGTAGTTAAATGTTTACAGATGGTTATGCTGGTTGCTGAAGAAACGTAAATACAAAATAAAATGGATTGATCATCATTGTACCACTGTTTTCTACTGAGTGCTACATTGTATATCAGTTTGCCATCGAATTAAAGCTTCAGATTCCTGACTTGGATACAACTTTATTTCTGATTTTTGTTTTGGATCAAAAATCGAGGTTTCTTTGCATTTTCCCTTTCTTTACCCCCCGAGCTTTAAATGCATACTTTTTTTTTTTTAGACATTTAGCAACAGCCTATTCAGAAGATCATTATTTTGCTCATGAAATGATTTGGCCTAAGGACAAGGTTGTCCTGCCAATTGACTGCCAGCAGGACATAAATTTCTTTCACTTCTCTCCTTTGCAGCCCTTTGTGCTTCCCAAAAATATGGGTTTTAGGGTACCCATGGCTGCAAGAGTGGAAAAGAGGGAGGAGCAATCCACTATCGGTCTCCCTCTCTTCACTCCATATGCCTTAGCAGATAGATCTTTTGTGGGAACCTAATGTTTTCCATGTCTCCAACAACTGTGTTTGTTACTAGGTGACAGAATTACTGCATTTGCATGCAGCACTAAGATAGCATTTATAATTGCATAACTGAATGGTGGCAAATTGTAGAGAATGAGTGTACATATCATCATAGGCACATGTTTGCTTATAGATAACTGAAACTCACACCCAGAGCAAATATTTTATGCTCAATTCTACCCACCCCCAATTTTGCCAACTTGGCAGTTAGCTGTCCTTGCCTACATTGCATCACTAGGTGGTGTGGAAAAGTGTGTTTGTGTGAGGGTGACACAAAATTTGTGCAATTTGAGCTTCGTTGTGCTTAGAAAACTCTTATTTATCTTTACACACACACACACACATATAAAGCATCAGCCGAATAAGAACATATAACAAGCATTAAAGTTTAACTTATAATACTCTTTATATAATGAATATAACAAAGTATTGTCGAAGGCTTTCATGGCCGGAATCACTGGGTTGTTGTAGGTTTTTCGGGCTATATGGCCATGTTCTAGAACATGGCCATATAGCCCAAAAAACCTACAACAAACATTAAACTTCACCTTTCCCAAACTGGACTCCCTTTAAAATGATTTCATCAATGTAGTGAGTCTTGCTTGGCTTCTACTTTGACTTACAGGCAGTCTCTTAGTTATTACCATCTGACTTACAAATGACAGATAGTTAAGAAATATACCCCTTGGAAGGGAAATTCACTCCTGAAAGACTGATCATAGGGGGAAAGGGTCTCAACTGATGCTTTCTCACCAATCCTAATTTCAAAATCCAATTATCACAGGGACAGAAAGTGAAATCTTCTGAACAAGGGCACAGACAGCAAAAAAACAGCACAAGGCGTTAGCTGTTCCCTATGCTATCCAAAGCAATAGATAGATGATAGATAGATAGATAGATAGATAGATAGATAGATAGATAGATAGATAGATAGATAGATGATTGTTTTGGCTGAAATTATACTTCAAATTATACCTGTTATGACGTACATACAAATTCAACTTAAGAACAAACCTGCAGAACCTATCTTGTTTGTAGCTTGGGGACTGCCTGTATTAGGTTTATCAGGATGTATTTACTTCTGTTTGTAGCAAAGCACACATTTCTTCTTCCTTCTTAAAGTCTAGGAATCATTTATTTTCTCCATCCCAAAACCTTTTATGTGTTCCCAGGCTTTACTCAGGCTGAGATATTACATCCTTAATACCAGATTGGAAATATTTTTAGATAATATAAACATTCATATTGTCCTTCAAGCATCTGTAGATGGACCTTCCCCTTTATTTTATCTTCATGTCTGTCCTGAGAGGGATGGAGATTAGTGATTGAACCAAGATCATGCAATAGCCTCTGGGCTTGCATTTGGTTTTGAAAACAGGTCTGTGACAAACCTAGTCTGGCTCGCTAAATGCTGCCACTGCCTCACTAAGAATAAACTTGTGGCCATTGTCATTGGAAGGAAAACAAGGCACTACAGAGAAGATTATTTATCACAATTTTCGAGTATCTGAACTTGGACAAGTTGTTTTCGTGGAGTACCACTCACAGAAATAAGCCTTCAGCCAACATGGGCAGCAATTTTTCCCAGCACTGATCTTACCAGATGGGAAACATAAGTATTGCTATAAGTGTGTAGAATAGCAGGAATTCTTCCAACTATTTTTTAAATAACCGAAACAACGAAATGCACTGAGGGATAAATAGGAAGATGATTAAGTATTGCAGTTTTGACACCAAATCCCAAACATGCTTTCTTTTCCAGTTATAACACACGATCTCTGTGGACCACTTGTATTTAGATTTTTAAAAGTGTATTTTGGAAATAATATATTAGCATCTCCACCCACAGTTGGAAAGGCTACTTGTAAATAAAGCTTGTCGACAATGTGTTTCTTACTAACAGCGCTTAGTGAACTGTCTACTGATTTTCAGCATTTCAGAAAACTATTTATGTTAATGTATGGGAATATTTATGCTTTTGTATCATAAAATGTCCCCCAAAATAACATCATCGGCATGTTTGCATTTGAATATATGAACTACTCCTTCGGTACCATCTGGAATGGAATAGTCTTCCTTTGACATAATGGGTTTTAAAGAACAAATTAGGAGACCAGAAACCATGACTGTAAATGACTGCTATGCTACAGTTCATGAACTATGGAAATTTCTATTGTCGACTTAAATACATATTTTGCATCACTGATTTAATATTCATATTGGCGCCACTGGTATACTTTTCATTTGCTCAGTTTATCTGAGAATCACTTGGCAGAGAAGAAAATTACACCATTCTATGACACCCTGCTGCTATGTTAGCAGCACTGACATGGCGCCCTGCCTTACATGCCTTGCTATAAAGAAGTGATGGAATACCTTGTATGCTCCAGAGGTTTAGAATGTATCCCTGCAGTGGAAGGCATTGTGAACATATTCCCCCCAAATCTTGATCTTTAAACAGGGAGGGGGGAATATATATTTCTTCTGTTACTTGTCAGTTACAGAAATATCCCTATGGCACTTTATGATGGAGGAGCTGTTGGATACGAAGGCAGTGGGGTAATGGACCCTGAGCTTCCAGGGGTGAAGCTTCGGTGTTTCGATTAGTAGGTTGTTGAAGTCACTTGCCATCCTCCCTGGGTTTCCCTATTCCCTCTCAGCTTAACGCCACTCCTCTCAGCAAGGGTCTAAAGTATGACAATTTTCATTGGAGAGAGGGAAAAGACAAAAATGGGCCATTAAGAAAAAAATCCTATAAGAGGACTCTGAAAAATTGACAACATTTTGGGCTGGTTTTGACAGGTTTGGTCCCCCTCAAAATTTGGGTGGAACTGTTGTTTTTTTAGGGCCATATACTGGTCTAAAGATGCCAGATCTTGTCTGATCATGGAAGCTATGCTGGCCTAGCTTTGCTTAGTACTTGGATTGGAGATTCCCAATCCGTACCAGGCAGTTCAGGGGAAGAAACAAACAAATCTACCCCTGAGGATTCCTTGGCTAAGAAAACCCTGTAAAATTTATGGGGTCATCGTAAGTCGACAGATGATAAAGGCACACCTACATTTTCCATTGTTGGTTTCAGTATTTTCTACGTGGAGAGAAGAAATGCTGCCTCTACATTTTCCTACATGGTCTGTAGATTGCTGGCATGTATTCTGTACAATTGTCCATCAAGTGTCACTCCTAATTTCCAATGAATACATTACAGCTAGGTCGCTTCTGTGGATTCAGGGCCAAGTTCAAGCCACATGACTGCCAAAGATCAGTAATAAAACTGGAACCCTCATGATACCAGTTGCTCAGAAAAGACATTGTAATCTAAGGATCTCATCACACTACAGAATTAATCCACTTTAAAGCTGGTTGCTGCCTCCTGCAGAATTCTGGGGTTTGTAGTTTAGGAAGGAACCTTTAACAGCCTTATTAAACTACAAACCCCAGAATTCTGCAGAAACCAGATTTAAAGTGGATTCATTCTCTAGTGTGATGAAGTACTAAAAGAAGTCACCTAGGTATTACACACCTTATATTAGAGGGCAATCATGCTTCAAAGAGCCATCTATTATCATTATTCCTTTTTAAAACAAGGTATGTAGTTATTGTACATTTTATTTCATGGAAAAATATTAATTTTGTTGGGAGAGTTATAACAGTGGTGAGGAGCATGGAAGCTGCATTTATCCCAAGCACTGACATTGTGATAACATCATGCTACAACAACAACAACAACAGCAACAACTCATTTGTTACTCACCTCTTCTAACATTCAGAATCTGCCAAAGGTATACAGAGAATAGCTTTCCAAAGAAGGACACCAACTTCCACCAAATGAAATATTATATACTGTACACACATTCCCCACCCACTTACTTTCTAAGGCAGTGCTCTCATCCTAACATTTTCTCCCAGCCTTAAAAACCAGAGAAGATAGTCCAAACTCTGATACTCAAGGCAAGTTCTGAGATCTGAGCACTCTACTACAGGTTGCAGATTCACGCACAACAGACCACAAATAGCTTACACAAAAATGAACATTCTCCCATCTTTACCCCTTGCCTCTCAAGAACAAGAGATTAATTATCTCCCAAGCATTTTTTTAAAAAAGCTCAAACTATCTAGAAACCCCCCTCCCAAAGAAACAAGTTGGCAGGGGATGGAAAAGTCAGGTATATTTAACTAATTAAAGCCTTTACTCACAATGTCAGGTACAAATCAGCTGTCAGAAATTCTGCCTGCCCATAATTGATATTCCAAAATAACTGCTTCAGAGCAATATGCTAGTGTCTGTCGTGTAATTAGTGCAGCAATTCAGCATGTGAGATGTGACTTGTTTTCACTGGATCGAAGAGAACTAAATCAGGAGGCATTCATAAAGGAAGAAGTTAACATGATGTATCTATCAGGACTGGGATTCTTGCTTTTGTATATTAACAGCACTTGCTTAGAGGAACAAACTTTACTAATAGGCTGTAAGATCTCCAAATGGCATAGGCCTCGAGCACAGAACTAAATCTTTCAGGGATGCCTGAAATACAGAAGAACAACACAATTTATATGAGAATCTATTGAAGCTGAATCCCATAATAAGCTTCCACCTATCCTCAACTGGTA